ACGCAAGAGGAGACCACATCGTAAGGAATTATTTTAATTAAAAGCAAATAATTCAGCAATTCAACCATTGAGACGAGCAAGTAAAGAAGGGCGGACGGACGGACACAAAGGCGATTAATTAATCATCCATCTCGAGATGAACGTTCAGCAATTTTCCATCAAGCAATTAGAAGTGGAGAGCAAGCATCTCAGCGACGTTTTGCGCTGTACGTCTCCCCCCCCCGTGCCGTTATTTATTATGCAATGTGTAGCGGCTCAAGAATCGACTGCCCTTGTTGCGCTCGTGCCATGCAGGCATGCTCCACACCGTGCTCTTCAATCGGGCGTTCGGACTGGTCTATCCCAAGGAGGAAATCATCGACACGCTCGACTTTGAATATGTACGTACAGAAAATCACTTTGTAGTTCTATTTTTCTTTATATATATATTTATATTTATTCATCTCTTTTATGCACGCAGGTAAGGTGCGACGACGTGACGGTGCACCAGTACGTCGAGGAACAAATCAAGACCTTCCGCACGACCCTCGCCGAAAGGGAGGATCGAAGAGCCCAGGTACGTGTGCCGCGTGTGCCGCGTGTGCCGCGTGTTGTGTGGTATCTGACCGGTGTGTGCGGCATGTACGATCAGTTGGTGCTGTCGTTTTTTGAGACGCGATCGAAGAAGGCCTGGTTCCGCAAGGTCGAGGAAAAGATCTGCTTTGAGCAGTGGGTCTTCTTCATCATCCTCAAGGAGGACTCGCCAGTCGAAACGCCAGGTACAACAACCAACCAACAACCAACACTCCTTACAACCAACCTGGCGTGCTCACTCACACACACGATTCTCTTCGTCTTCGTCGGGTGTGCAGAAGCGCGAGAGAAGCTCGAGAATGAGCTGCGGGAGCGCATCATGTACATCATTCAGACGGTGAACGAGAAGCAGAACCACATTCCACTCAAATTCCAGCCCACCGACCTCATCCCCTTCCCCTACGAGGTATGCACATGTTCCTTCGCTCCCAGTTCATCAAGACCGGCTCGGCACTTCACATGCAGCTCACCGACGTGGTCCACCACCCACCACCCATCACCCACCACAGATCACAATACCATCGACATCAGAGAACTGGGGCGTGGACATGATGTGGAACCTCATCAAGAGCCCCCAGCCCATCCTCACATGAGCGTGCGCGCCGTTTTCCCCACCTTTCTGTCTATTTATCTACTCTTATCTTTCTTATTCGCCCCCTCTCCTTCGTGAAGGGAATGAGCTATTGCTTGTCCCTCACCATCCGCACTCGCCCGCACACGCCGGCGGGCTGTAATAAAATCGATGTACAGAAGCTCTTCTTCTTCGTTCTTTTTATTTGTTTTAGTTGGCGACAACCAGGCCTGCCCCGGGGCATGAAGACCTCCCGCCGAGCTCAACTACGCGACCGGCACCGTGGGCGAGGCGGTGGCCTACTGGCGCGAGAACTACGCCGACCTGCTCGACGAGGCGCCGCCTTCGGTGTGGCGACGTGGGCGCGGCCGAGCGACGGGCCAGAGGAGGTAAATATATATATAAATGATATGTGGATAAGTGTAACCTTTAGTTTGGACGAGGTAGAATTGAAACTCACAATTCTATAAACAAGCTTGGCAGAGTGCAAGTGGTGCCGTCAATGTCGTCCTCGCCGAGCCATACGCTGTGCTCGTGGGAGGAGATCAACGGCTGCATCGGTATGTGCACCTCCCATTGGGGAGGAGGGGCGGCGGCGGCGGCCGCGGCCGTGGAGGGCCACACGGAGGGTTGATCGCCGCTGTAGTGAAGTTCTGGGTCGGGGTCGCCCAGTGTCATCTGGTCCCGCGCCGCTGCCGTTGGCGCCTCAACGCTTGGTGGCGTTGGCACGACTCTTGGCGTCTGGTGTCGTGGCTCTGCAACTTTTCTCTTTTTCTTCTCTCGCGACCGTGGTTGCGGTTGTTCTTTTCTCTTCCCTTGGTTTGGTTTTGATCTCTCTTTCTTTTTACTTTCCACCTTCCGCGACTTCCCCTTCGCTCTCGCTCTCGCTTTCGCACTTTCGCTGCTCGTCTCTCGTTCCTGGTGTTGCACCCCAACCTTTCTTTTGGGGGTCGGTTCAGACCTGGGCTTCGCCGCAGCTGTTCGTTTGGTCCCCCGACGTGCTCTGAGCGCACAGGTGCGTTGCTGCGCAGGCCGGGCTCGGCCTCCCACGCACACGCAGTCGTTCGACTCCGGAGGGTCCAGGTCCTCCACCACCCTCGGCCTGCGCGGAGGCCCCACGCTGGCGGCCGGCCGTCTGGGTGGTGGCCCAGCTGGGACGATCACGCAATCCTCATCGTCTACCTCCTCGACACCCCTGTCGTCCTGCGAGAGGTCGATGAAGACCTTGGCCGAGGTCATTGTTTGTTGAATGGAGAGGCCTCACCTGTGCCTCACCATCTCGTCCATGGTGGCCCTTCTTCTTTTTCTTTACTGCGCGCCTGGTGGACTCCTGGGCTTGGTGGGCACCGTGTCGTCCGCCTTTCACTGCCTCTTCTCTCGCGTTAGGCGCAAAAAATGAGTTGGCACTGAAACGCAACCACCACAGACTGGTTTTAACGTGTTACCGCAGAAAAAAGGCTGCTATTGGCCGTTGGCGCCAACGGTAGGCAGGTAAAAAAGGCGGGAAAAGACAGAACGGCAGTGCGGTGTCGAACGCGTCTCATCTCATCTGGAGAGGAGTTGAAGAAGGAGAGACGATGAGGTTGCTGCCGGACAAGACCACGGGTGCCGTCTCGACGGTTGATGAAGACGCACCGCGCAAAGGTTCAAAGGGGACTGCATCAGCCGGAGGAAGATCGGCCAAGGCCATCCCCGGCTTGGCCTACCTCTTCGATGATGAGAAGAAGGGTGGGAAGGAGGGCGAGGGCGGCGATGAGGGGAAGGGAGGGGCAAGGAGGCGGAGGAAGGGACCTGCCAAGGAGAGGAAGAAGGCGCGCAGAATCAATTACGAGCTCCTGTCCCAGCCCGAGGGACTCCCCGCCCTCTACGATCGGCTAAAGAGCGGCTTCAAGATCGATGAGAGCCTTCCCCTGGTTCGTTGGCCTTTCCAAGCACAGGACTAATTTATTGCTATTCATTTTCAATTCCACTGATTTGGGCCTGGCATTTGCAGATTGATCAGATGGAACAATTGATTACGCCCTACCGCGAGTGGGCCAAGGATCTCATGCCCAACTATACATTCGATGGTGCGTCTACTCTCTTTGTTCTCACAACTGCGGCGTTCATTCATCTTTATTTACGTTTTCGCGCCATACACCTAGACTTCATCGAGCGCACCGAGAAACTCAGCGGCACCTACGTAATCAGGGTACCGCAGCCGTGTGTGTCGTGCGTGTGTCGTGTGTGTCGTGCGTTGTGCAGCGCTGATCAGGAATCGTGTTTCTGATGCGAGTAGGGCATGCTGGAGAGCCTACAACGCGGCGAGGGTGTGCCGCAGGTGGACGTAATCCTCAACAAGAGGCGAGCCCAGATCGACGACGCCGTCGACGACTACGATGACGAGGTCGCCGCCGCCGACGCCGCGGCTGGAGGAGCCGACGCTGCTCTCCGGCCCGACGTCGATTACCGCCCCGAGCGCGAAGAGATCAACCCCTTCCTCGCCGATGACGACGATGAGGACAGGACAGCCACCCCTGTTGTGCGCGCCGCAGCCAAGTCCGCTGCCGTCGATGACGACGTACGTGTGTCGCGTGTGTGTCGTGTGTGTCGTGTGTCGTGTGTGTTCTACGCGTGGCATGCGTGAGCTGATGTAAAGAATGTTTGGAATGCACACAGTTCAATCTGGAGGAGCTGCTGGCGAGGGACGCGGCCAAGCAGGTGCGCGACGACGACGAAAACGATGAAGAGGAGGTGCAGCGACGCCGGCAGAAGCGGGAGGAGTACGAGCGGTGGAAGCGGGAAGAGAAGGAGCGGGAGGAGGAGCGCGTGAGGAAGCTCAAGGAGGAGCGGGAGCGGGAGAGGGAGAGGAAGCGCGAGGAAGCCCTGGCCAAGAAGAAGGCCGCCCAAAAGAAGAAGAGCGAGAAGAACAAGAAGAGGCGGCGCGACGCGTCGACAGACGAGAGCAAGAGCGAAAGCGAGAACTACAAAAAGAGCGAAAGTGAAAGCGAAGAGGAGGAGCGACGGGAGAAGGCGAAGAAGGAGCGGGCCAAGAACGCGAAGAAGAAGGAGCGGGTGACTAGGAAGGAGGCCAAGCGAAGGAACAAGCAACGTAAGGCCCGCGATGACGATGACGATGACGACGATAGCAACAGCGACAGCGACAGCGACAGCGACGCGAAGCAGAAGACGAAGCGAAACAAGAGCAAGAAGAACAAGTCGAAGAAGGAAAGCGACAGCGGTAGCGAAGACGAAGAGAAGGAGAAAGAAGAGGAAAAGGAGAAGGAAATGAAGAAGAAGGAGGCGCAGCAGCCGGTGGTGAGGCGAGTGGCCAGGAGGCGGGGCAGGCCCATCGCCGCCGCGGCGCCCCAGGCGGCTGAGCCGTCGATGGCCACCGGCAAGCGCAAGTCCACTGAAGAAGGCGAAGGAGCGGCCGCTGCGGTCGAGGAGCCTCGGAACAAAAAGAGGCGCGTCGAACAAGAAGAAGAAGAAGTAGAAGGCGACAAGAACGAGAACGTCGCCGCCGCCAAGCCCTCTACGTCGCCGATGGAAGAGGAGGATCCCGACAACGTGCCCCTGGGCGTGCTGCTTGGCCTCTAATCAGGCCTCAAGCAGAGAGTCACCCACCAGGCCCACTCCCTTTTTCACTTGTATGTTTTCTCTTTCACATGTAACGTTGAAGACGATGTAACGTTGAAGAAGATGATGACCTACTTCTTCTGGTGCTGTTGCTGTTGTTGTGCAACGTGGCGGTGGTAGTCGTGTACCACCTCTCGTTGCTCGTTGGAGCCGCCGATTATCTGTAGCACATTGCCGTTCGACCCACCACACGCACATACATGCGATGGTGGTGGTGAGAAGGTGCGCCAAAAGGGCAACCCATCCATCGTCATCGGCGGTAGGTCATCGTACGTGGAGGTGGTCGTCGAGATGGGCCTCGTTGAGGAGCTTCAGCCCCTCCTCCTTGTGTCCCGTCTCGTATGCGTATATTCCTGCAGCCCATCATGTACACACGAGTTACATGTTGATATATATATCTATATATGTATAAATAAATATAAATCTAATGCGTGTAGTAGAGTGGGGTACCCTTGCACAGGGGGACCCAAACTTGGTTGAGTTGCTCCTTGCGCGGCGAGGGCAGGCTCTCGGTCGCCTTCTCTATCTCCGCCACCATCTCCCTGGCCTCCTCTCTCTTGCCTGAAGGCCAAGCAAGATAGAGGAAAAAAACACACAATCGTTCAGCCAAACGTGCGTGTGCGTGTGTGGTGGTGCGTGTGCGTGTGTGGTGGGGCGTGTGCGTGTGCGGTGGTGCGTGTGTGCGGTGTTACCCATGCGTAGGAGAGTGTGCAGGAGGAGCACGTCGTAGAACGGGTCCGCGTGGCCGTGCCTTCGGTCCTGTGAATCGCCTGGGTAAGAAGAAAGAAATCAAAAGAAAAGAATCGAAAAGAAAAGAGGTGCGTGCCTCGACGTAGGGGAGGAGCTGCCGCCACTTGGGCTCGAGGCCCCGGCCGCCCATCAGCTCCCACTTCCACAGCAGGCCCATGGCACCGAGCTGGTCCTGCGTGTTTCGGTTGTCGTGCGCCGGGAACGATTCGTCTTTTTTCGCCGCTTCCATCTTTCAAGAACACGCGCACCACCGCACACGCACGCGCAGTGAGACTGGGTGCGTGTCGTGTATCGTGTGTGTGTGTGTGTGTGTGTGTCGTGCGTGTATGTGTGTGTGTGTGTGTGGTGTGTGTGTGTGTGTGTGTGTTGCGAGGAGAGACTAGACCTGCTGCTGGGCTTCGTCGGTGAGGAATATGTGCGGGTAGTAGATCGACTCGATCTGATGCAAAAAAAAAGAAAGAACGAAAGAGAAAGAGAAAACCAAGACAAGAGAGCGAAGAAATGAGAGAGAGATGAGTGGCTGAATGTGATGGCAATCAGCAAAGGAGGAGGAGGAGGAGGAGGGCGGTGTGGTACTTCGTTGTGGGCCGATTTGGAGAGGTGGAAGAGGGCCAAATGGAACCAGTTGTGGGTATGCATGAAGGACATGCAGTCCTCCCAGTAATGCGCGTACTTGCTCAACCTGACACCAAAACAGACACACAGACACACAGACACACGACACACGACACACACACGACAAACACCACACAAAATCACCATTTAGCCTTACACCAGTGCGTGTCGTGTGTATCTGTGGGTGAGTACCATTCGACGCCTTCGTCAGGTCGGTCGAGGGAGAGCAGGGCGTGCGCCACCGAGTGATGCGCCCACGGGTCGTCCTCCGCAATCTCCACCCCCTACCAACGCACAACGCACGACACAAACCGCACACGCACGTCACACATCGCACACGCCGCGCACACAACACGCACGCTTGTGTCGTACGCGCTTGCCGGCGGCGAGGGCCTCGTCGTAGCGGCCGTTCTGTTCTAGGGCGAAGCAGAGCATGCCGTTGAAGTAGGGCCGGTCGCCCGACGTGTCCCGCATGGCGAGCGCGATCTCGAGCATGCCCGCCCGATCGCCCACACAGAACGCCACCAGCTGGCCCCGCTTGAGCGCAAACAAATCCATCGGATACAACTCTGTGATCTGCACACGTCAGCACACGTCAGCACGACACGACACACGCAACACACACGACACACACGGCATGACACGACACGACACGCAGGGGTAGAGGTACGCGTTTGAAGTCGGCGTAGGCGCGGGGGAGGTCGCCGGCCATCCACGAGTTGAAGGCGTCGACGTAGAGCTTCTCCCGCTCGGTGACCTCGCTCGCGTCGGCCACCTTCCGCGCGCGCTCGAGGTGCGCCCTGGCCTTGTCCATGCGCTCCCTTTGAGGGGGGGGGGTGAGCCGCACACGCCGCACACGCACCCAGGCCGCACGCGCCGAGGGGGTGAGTACTTGGCGACTTCGTAGTCGGCGGCGAAGACCAGGGCGAGCACGCACGACGGGTCGGTGGCTGCCCCGCGCTCGATCACGTGCCAGTCCTTCCCGTACCTTGGATGGAGTTAAAAAACAGTGTTAATGATGATTAATATTTATTTGTATTTAATATGACAATAAGAATAAGTGATTTTATTATTATTTCGTTCTTCGTTCTTCAGACAAATAAATACAAATAAATAATTGTGCAACCAGAAAGGAGAACAGGAGCAGTACCGCAGGACTTGCTCGCAGAACTGGTTTATGGATGAAATCACCGTCTTCGCTTCATCTTCAGTGAGATCTTGCGACAGGCTCACGTCCATGCCCTGAAAATCAGGCCTCCTTTGCATCTTCACCCTGCCCGGCTCCATCTTTTTCTAGTTTCTATTTTATTTTGTTTTGTTTTTGTTTTTGTTGTTTCGCCCACAGGAGTCGCGGAGAAGTTGGCGAGTTTTCGTATTTTAATCTGGAATGTGATCGACGCCCGACCATCCACCCTATTGGCCTTCCCAAGGACCAGGAGGATCGCAAAATGTTGTTTCCCGGGTGCCAAGACGGTTTTTTCTTCTTCTGGTAGCTGCATCACCACCTCCACGCAGGGAGCGCAAGAAGCTTTGCAAGGAGAAGAGGAAACGTGTCAGGCATAGCTCCACTCAATTTCTGTTGGTTTGCATTTCCTGGTTGCTACGTACGTCATGGTTGCTCGGACTCTACTACACCCCACGCGCTCTCTTGTGTTGTGTGATCGTCATCACGCACCTCTTGCACGACGTGACTTGTTGTGGGCGCGGGCCAGTGCACACACTTCAGCCTCGCAGCACATGCAGCCAGAAGAGCACCACCACCAGCAGCAGCAGCCCGGAGCCGCCCCACCATCGGCCCACGAGAAGATGCGGAAGGACCGGTACGGCTCACCTTGACGTTTCCTTCTGCACTGTGACTCTAAATCTCTTTTTATCACATTTTTATTTTATTTATTATTTGTTTTCGATTTAAATAAATAGAAAAAAACAGCTGTTGATGTGGTTCGGATGGGCATCTCCATGAACCACTACTTCTTGTTCACGAGACGATGGGTGCAGGGAGTTCGTGATGGAGTTTCTGGAGTTCCTCGCCTTCATGCAGGACGAGGCCACCTATTGGCGCCAGCCTGCTCCGGCTCCTACTCCTTCCTTTCCCTCGTCTTCTTCCTCTTCTTCGTCCTCGACAGAGCACCCCTTCTCCTTCCCCACACCTCCTTCGTCGGTTCCTTATCCTCCTTCCTTCTCCTCGCCTTCATCTTCACCACCGCCAGTCGCTACTTCGTCGTCTCCCCAACATCAACACCATCACCGTCGGCGTAGTGGAAGCTCTCGACCACGTGGTCGGCGGAACAACAACCCAAGCTCAAGCCGGAACGAGCGCTCGTTCTCCCTCCCCTCTCCGCAGGCCTTCCCCTCCTACCAGCTCTCTACTTCTTCATCTTCTACTACTTCTTCTTCAACAACAATCCGCTACTCGTCTACATCGTCGCCGCTCTTCGGCTCTACGTCGTTCCCGTGCCCGCCGTGCGCCATGCTGGCGAGCACGGCGCCACCTTCGCCACCCCCGCACCTTCGACGCAGTCCCACCTTCAACCTCTCCGCCGACCTCCCCCTCTACTCGACGCCACTCGACGACGACAGTTCTCAGCACCAGCATCATCATCTGCATCATCGTGAAGACGACCGACGAATACGTGGAGGGGGCGCCGGCAATGGTCACTATCATCACCATCAGCAACAACATCACCATCAGCAGCAGCAACATCATCAACTTCAGCACCAGCAGCTCACCAGTGGCCACATCGCGACCGACAGCAACGTGGAGGCGGAGGAGGACAGAAGGCAGATGGAGGTGGCGGAGGGCGAGCGACAAGAGGAAGGTAGCCTGCGGCAGAAGCCATGGCGAAGCTAAACAAAAAAACAAACAATTATTAGCTGTTGTTGTTATTATTTGTTTTAAAAAGAGGAGAAAAGAGATAACGAGGTCTCACTACTGCGAGGCGGAGCAGCGCGCGGTGTAGGCCGCCCACGCCTTCTCCTGGTACTCACGGGCTGCGGCCACCGGGTCCTGTTTCGAAGAAGAAGAAGAAGAAGAAGAAAAAGAAATGAAAGACGATCATCAGCATGGGCGTGCGAGCAAATGATGAAATCACGACAGCTGCTTGCGATCAGACGCGCACGTGACCAACCGGTTTTCAAAGCGAGGGAAAACGAATAAGGAAGGAAGGCCGTACAGCTGCCGAACAGACGCCACGGCCGACGATTGCCACATCACAGCCCGAATCCTATGTGTGTGCATGTCGTGCGTGTCGTGTGTTGTGGTGTGTGTCGTGCGGTGAGTTGGGTGGACATGGAGAGAGAGAGAGAGAAAGAGAGACTTACGATGACCATCTCCGGCGTGCGGTAGGTCTGGCCGAGCCCATCACCCTGCGACCCTGTAGTGTGTGTCGTGTGCGGTAAGAGATAATGAAGGGATGGTGACGATGATGACAATGACGATGACGACAACGATGAAGTGGTGGTTCCTACCGATGCGAACGCCGGGGGTGCAGTAGAGGAAGGAGGCGCTCTCCTCGGGGTTCTTGGCCAGCACGTTCTCCTGGCAGATGAACCCCACCACGAAGTCGGTGTGCGCCCGCGCCGCCGCCAAAGCCCGCTCCACACTTCCCTCTGCACACGTAATAATAAATTTCAAATTAATTAAATGTTCCACTAATTAACTAAATTCATTAATAGATTGGTGGGCACCTTCTTGCTTGGAGGCGGCGTCGGCGGTGCTCATCTGGGCGATGAGGAGGGCGCCCCGCTCCTGGCCCTTCTGGGCGGCGGTCTCCTTGAGGGAGGTGACCACGCTGGCGCCCGCCACCAGGTGCACCGTCACGACGTCCGCCCAATCGCAGATCCCGAACGGACCGCCCCCGTACTGCTGCTGCGCCACATACCTGCCCCAACCACATACATACATCATCAGCCATGCGTGTTCGGTTGTGTGCGGTGTGTGCGGGTGTACGGTGTGCGCGGTGTGCGTGTACCCGATGTCGGCAAACTTGCGGTCCTCGAACAGGAGGAAGTGGTGCTTGTCAGCGAGCTCCTTGAGCTCCTTGCCTGATGACGTTCAAAGTTTGGAGATCGTCAGTCAGAATCAATTGTATCAATTGTGTCGTGTCGACAGCGAGTGTACCGGTGTTGGCGTCCCAGTCTCGGACGATGTCGGCGTGGGTCTTGAGCATGCAGATGTGCGGCCCCAGCTTGTCGGCCAGCGTCAGCAGCTCCGACTTGCTCGTGACGTCAGCCGCCACCTATATACATAGAACGAGAAATGAATATATAAATATATATTAATACATGATAGTAGTCCATGCAACTATATGTAGCCGTACGGAGAGGTTGGACTTCTTCTGCTCCATGAGGCGGAGGAGCTTCTTGCCGACCGCCGACTGGCACTTGTCCACGCGCTCGGCGAAGGCCAACACTGCGATGTCGATACAATCATCGGAAGAATGCGAAGCATGAGGAATGCCAAGCATGAGTGCGTACCCTTGGGCTTCTCGGCGGCGGCGGCGGTGGTGGCGGCAGCGGCGGGACTGACCTGGGCCATGGAGGCCAGGTACGCGTTGATGCTGTCGAGCAGCGAATCCTCGATGCGCCCGTGCGCCTTGAGCGTCTCCAGCATCTGCCGGAGCGACGTCTGCACAGCACCCGCGTTCAACACCCCTACACGACAGTGGTGTACACACGACACGACACGACACGACACACGAAGAGTATATACCACAGCGTGGACGGTGACGGCGAGGCCGCCCTCGAGAGCGGCGAGGCGCTGGCGTCCGCCCTGTTGGCGGTCGAGGAACACCACGGCCTCCTCGACCGTCAGCCCAGCGCTGCACGCACGATCAGTTGGTGAGAAAATATTAATAATATGTTAAATATTTGTATTTTGTGTTTTTATAACATAAAAATAATAATAAAGAACAATAAAAATAGTACCTGCGGAGGTTGGTGGAGGTCTCCTGGATGGAGATGCCGCTGGTGATGACGTCCTCGAGGATGAGCACCTTCTCATCCTTCTTGAACACGCCCTCCACGAGGCTCTTGGTCCCGTAGTCCTTGGCCTCCTTCCTGTGTGGTGTGCGTGTGTACGTGTGTGTCGTGTCGTGTCGTGTCGTGTCGTGTCGTGTCGTGTCGTGTCGTGTCGTGTCGTGTCGTGTCGTGAGTGGCTCAGTTGTGGCGGCGATGGACAGCAACAGAGGTGGGTGGCTGGGGCGCACCTGCAGATGACCATGGGCACCTGGTGCTTGATGGCGATGGCGGCGGCGAAGGGCAGCGCGCCGTAGGGCACGCCGCACACGTGGGTGAAGCTGAGAATGATTATGCAGAAGAAGAAGAAGATGGAGATGAAGAAGAAGCTAACTAAGTCGTTTGCGCTGCGTTATCGCAATCTGCAGATTGGGATGATGTGGGAATCGTACCGCTTCCTGGCCTCTTGCTCGCCGACGGAGGCGGTGAGGCATCGCCACATGGAGTCGACCACACGCTCCAGCACTCGCGGGTGAGACGGCAGCACCCTGCGTGTAGAGACATTAATTTGTACGATTTTCAAAGATTAATCTCAAATTCATCTGTAGAACAAGATTAGCAATCGATGGATCGCCATCCACGACCGCTGCGCGTGTATGGAGCACCGGAGGGGCGGGGGTACCTCAGATCGACGTAGATGGGCGACATCACGCCCGATTTGAGCTTGAAATTGCCCAATTTAACAGCTCCGATCTCGTGCAGCTGAAGGATGAGCTCCTCCACGAGCTGCCTCTGCTCGACACTCCTGAGCTCGTTAATCTCGGCAACGTCTTCCTTGGGGATCTCCATTCCTTGCTTCGATCTTCGTGCTGGCCCAGATCGACTGGCCCTTTCGCAGGCCTGCACCCAATGCGGAACATTTTTTAAATTCCTCCGAATATACACCAGGGCTCACATGCTGATGGGGAACATAGAGTACGTTTTAGCGTTCGTAGCCTACCACATTCTTTCTTCGGCCGAACCTTGCCCCAGGCCTGATTGGGGCCGATTTTATGTGAGCAAGGAGTTTTGCCAGCCGCTAGCGAAAGGGAGGTCTACTTTTCTTGTTGTAGCTTCTCAAGAACTAGAACTACACTGAAGAAGAGCACACGACCTGCTGCACGACTTCCACTCATGTGGGTGAGACTCGGGGCCTTGGCCCTGCTCGTGCTCGTAGTATGCACGTCGGTGTTCTTCATCGTCGTCTCGTTCGACTGCAACATCGTGCTCGACCGCTCCCTCACCGACTGCCACGGCTCCCACCTAAACGAAGTCTTCGCCGGCCGCGTTGTCCCCATCCTCCAATACGGTACGAATTATTTCTTTTATTTCTATATATTAATTCTGGTTTTATTTATTTTTCGTTATTCTAAAACTAAATATTTACTACCTTCTTCCTACACCACCTTAGTGCTGCACATCGCGTGCTGTTGCGAGTTCCTGTGGCTCGCACGGGGCATGCTGTGTTGGCCGTGGACCCACATTCGGCGCGTTTACGCCAACGCGGGCCTCCACATGACCGAGGCCGTCATGTGGTGCTGCACCGCCGCCGCCATGGCCGACCGCGCCTGGGCCGTGGGCCTCGAAGACGCCGCCTACGATGTGCTGGCCGTGGCCGTCGTCAGCGTCTTTCTCAACTCGCTCTGCACCTCCTACGCGGCCCACATGAACCTGGCCTCCTTCACCACCCTCCACGACGACTACGATGACGACGAAGAGCGCAACCCGTTCGCGTACGCGGCCAACGCCGAGCGCGCGAGCGTGGCCGAACACGGCGACGCCATGTTGACACTCGTGCGGTGCCTCTTCGTACACAACGCGGCCCTCTTTCTGGCCAACACGTCCTACGTCGTTGCCATGATCATGGTGAGCGAAGATGGTGGCGGCCACGAACACGGGGCGCTGGGGCGTCGGGTGCTCGTGCTGCTGGGCCTCTACGTGGTGTGGTACCGCGGCTCGCAGTCGACCTTCTGGTTCAACAAGCACAACTTCCCGCACGCCAACGTCATGCTGCCCCGATACGACGGCGCCGCCGTACGGTCGCCCCACAGCAGCGGGCTGCAGCGGCTCCACCTCTCCACCTGAAAGCCCAACACACACGACACGACACGACACGACACTTTGTACAGAGAAATATAGACCTGAGTGTAAAAACTCTTCAACTTCTTAGCGCACGTCGCATGCAACGCGTTGGTGCGGCAGAGCGCGCTTACAGGTGGATCTTGGTGCCCAGCAGCTTCAGGAACTCGCGCATCCACGCAGGGTGACCTATGTTGATTCCGTCATGAGTGAGATGATGATGAAGATGATGGAGATGTTAACGATGAGAAAGAAGATGACGATGATGCAGAAGAAGATGCGAATGGTGTGGATGGTGGTACCGGGCCAAGCGACGGCGGTGACGAGGTTGCCATCGACAACGGCGCCGTCGACCGGGCACGAGCCCTCCCAGTGGCCGCCCGCGATCTTGACGTCGGGCTCGAGCGCAGTGTAGGCCGTACACTTCTTGTCCTTCAGCAGGCCGGCCGCCACCAGGACTGCGCATGACCACCATGAGTGTCGTGGTGTTGTGTGCGGTGGTTGTGTGTGTGTGTGTGTGTGTGGTCAGCGTGTGCGGTACTCTGGGGGCCGTGGCAGAGGGAGGCGATGGGCTTGTCCTTGAAGCTCTGCACGATGGCCAGCAGCTGCTGATCGAGGCGCAGGTACTCGGGGGCACGACCACCGGGGATGATCAACCCGTCGTAGTGGGAGTGATCGGCCACCACCGCGTCCCAATCGACGGTCAGCGCGAACAGGTGTCCTGGCTTCTCGCTGTTGTTCGCACACGCACGCACACACGCGTCACCGCACATGCACACGCACGGATAAGAGCGGGTCAGTGGGTACATCAACAAGTGTGTGTGTTTGTGTGCTGTGTGTGTTGTGTGTTGTGTACGTGTAGGTCTGGTCGCCCTCGAAGTCGTGCACGGCGGTCTTGACCTTCTCGCCAGCCTTGCGCTTGGGGCACGCCACGTCGACCGTGTGACCCACGCACCTGCAGGTGGATTGATGTTGATGATGGTGCGAACATGTTCCCTCGAATCGCGTTGATCTACGCGATGCAGATGAGATGAAAGATTCATGAGCACGTACGTGAGCAACTGGTAGGGGACCATCGCTTCATAGTCCTCCACAAAGTCTCCAACAAGCATCAACAACTTCTTGCCTGACATCTCGACGCTTACTGATCGCAATCACAATTAATATTTTAGGAAAATAAGGAAACAATAAGAAATAAAGGGAAACACAGTGTCGACGCATCAAAATTGGCGGGAAAGCAAAAGGTAAAAAACAAAAGAACTTCAAGCGTTCAACAGGCCCGGGTGCGGATTGATTGGATCAATTCGAGAGCTCCATTCGAACGGCTGACACATGATTTGATAGTGCAAAGGATACAGGTGCTTCTTTCCATTCAATTTGTACAAATTTATTTGCTACTTAAGGATGGAAATGGATTTACGCGTAGCCCGTGCATGATGGTGGCTGTCTCTTAAAAATCCCTTCTCCCCTCTATTGTGCAGGCACCATATTGCAAGAGGTGAGGGCAAGAGCAACGTGAGCGAGCTGTCATGGAGATGGACACGAGCGCAGATCAAGAAGGAGGAAGAGGCCTCGAAGAGGCTGCAGCGGCGCAGGCGCCCGCGAAGAAGAAGAGCAGCAAGCGGCGCGGGCTGAGGAACGAGCTGGGCCAGCTCAACAAGGAGAAGCAGAAGTGGAACACGAGGGCCGAGTGGCGCGACAGCAAGTTCGTGCTCGGCGCCGGCAGCAGCAAGAAGAGCGCACCACGCACCACGAAAGAGGAACAAGACGAGGTCAACGACGTCGAGAAGGAAGAGGAAGAGAAAGAGAAGGAAGAGGAGGAGGAAGAAGAGACGAGCAAGGCGAAGCCGAAGAAGACGGTAAGCAAGGCGACGAAGAAGACGACGACGAGCAGCAAGCGTCAAGCGAAAGAGCCCAAAAAGGTGAAGGAGGAGGAAGATGAGTTGATTGACGTGGAAGACTGCGAGGAGGCGGGCGCCGGCGCCAAGGAGGAGTCCGGAGGAGACGAGCCGGTTCTCCCCGCGGTCAGGAAGCGCGTGGTTGCGCGAAGAAAGAACGAAAAGATGAAGAAGAGCGAAAGCGAAGACGAAGACCAAGACGAAGACCGGAAGACGACAACGACGGCGGGAGATCAACGCGGCGGCGGCGGCGGTGGTGGTGGTGACGAGATGGACGTCGAGGCCGCCGCCGCACCCAGCCTGACGATGATGGAGCCGCCCGAGACGCCGCGCCGCCGTGTGGCCAGACGCAAGGGCAAGCCGGTCGCCGTAGCCCGGCGAGACGACGAAAAAGCCCATGATGATGACGTCGCACCGCGGCGCGGGCCGTACGCAAACGAAGGCGCAGACGATCGTGACAGCGAGCCGCAGGCCAAAAAGCGAAAGCGAGAGGTCGACGACGACGATGAAGAAGAAGAAGAAGAAGAAGAGCGGAGAGGAGGTCGTGAGGTGAAGATGGAGAAGGAGGAGGAGGAGCCGGTGGTCCACATGCCGACGCCCAGACCCGCCGCGAAGGTGAAGCGTCGCAGGATGCGAGGCGAGGTGGCTCTGCTGACCGCCGATGCGCTCAAGCAGAACACCCGCTACGACCGCCGCACCGCGCCCGCCGTCAAGCGACTGGCCTTCGGCTCCAAGGAAAGCGAAAGCGAAGGCGAAGACGAGGTAAAGAACGAAGACGAAGACGACGACGGGGAGGAGCTGCAGAAGCAACAGAAGAAAGGTAGCACGAAGATGAAGAAGCCGCCTGCCACGAAGAAGACTAGTACGGCGACAAAGAAGAAGCAAATGAAGGTGAAAGAGGAGAAAAACGACAACGATGAAAGCGAAGAAGCGAACGGTGGCGATGAAGAAGAAGAGCGAAAGAAAAAGAAAAAGACGAAGAAGCGGAGTTCGCTGACGAGGGGTTGCGAGGAGGGCCTGCGCTTCGTGGAGCGGCCCATACCCCGGAGTCCCGTCCTGGGCCGTCGTGGCCACGACCTCAGCCCGCGCTCCCGCCGACCGCCCAGCCCGTTCCTCCCGTCGCCGCCCGCCTCGCCCATCGACCAGAGAAGCCCGCGCGCGGCCGCCAAGGCCAAAGCCAAGGCCGCCAAGTCCAGGGCTCCGGCCAGAGGCAAGAAGCGATCACGAGACGAAAGCGAAAGCGAAAGCGAAGACGAAAGCGAAAGCGATGGCCAAGAAGAGAAAGACAAGAAGAAGAAGAAAAAGAAGGAGAAGAAGAGCAAGAAGAAGCCGAACAAGCGACCACGAACGATAAAGAAAGAAAAAGAGGAGGAAGACGAACACGATGAGGAAGAAGAAGAGGAGGAAGAGGAGGAAGAGGAGGAACGGCCGAAGAGTCGGAGAGCACCGAAGGGACGACGGCAGCGGGGCGCCAAGGTGGTGGTGAAAAGAGAGAAGAACGAAGACAGCGACGAAGAGGAAGAGGTGCGGGTGGTGGACGACGACTTTGACGAGGTGCGGAGCGGGGACGAGGGCGGCGGCTACGAACTGGCGCGCGTCCTCAGGTGCCACTCGACCAACGAAAACGACCGGCGCGATGACGGCCCCAGCGTGTACTCCGCCGCCTTCCACCCGCAGCACAGTACCCACCACCCAGCCTCTCGTTCTTGTCGACTGTGTGTGTGTGTGCACTGGTGCGCGTGTGCGTGTGCGGTGATGGCTAACACGCGTGGACGTCAACAGATCACATCGTGGCTACGGCGGGAGGAGACAGCGTGTGCGTGTATGACTGTCGCGACAAGAAACTGCTCAAGAAGTACAAGCACCCGCCGCAGGCCGGCGAGGAAAGTACGTTGTTGTGTGCTGAGTGTGCTGTGTGTGCTGTGTGTGCTGTGTGTGTGTGTGTGACATGTCGGCTCACTGTTTGGGTTTCTCTTTCCGAGTGCAGCGTTCTACTCGCTGGCGTGGACGATGCTGCCGCACCGGTCGCGACGCGGAGACTTCAGCATGCCCGTCATCGCTGCCGGAGGTACCTACTCTCTCCCCCCCGCGACACAGATCCACTACAGCGCCCGTGAGCCCAACTTGTCACACATCTCAACGATTGCTCGTGTCGTGTGCGTGTCGCGTGCGTGTTCCCGACATGTAGGCAAGCAAGGGGACATCAAGTTGATCGACGTGGACTCGGCGCAGCTGTTTGCCGTTCTCCAGGTGCCAGCCGTACCCGGCATGCCCGCCGGTCCACTGTACGCCCACCCCATGCGCTCGTTACACACGACAATCTCCTGCGCACACGCGACACACGACACGACACGACACGACACGACACGACACGACACGACAACACCTGACCGCTCCGCTCCGCGTCGGGTGTCGCACAAATTGCAGACGGGAGGTGCAGCACATCGCGTTCTCGCCCGTCCATCCCTGGCTCATGTTCACCGGACACGCCAGCGGCAGCATCCTCGTGTGGAGCATCTCCGCGCCCAAGCAGGGCGCCCAATCTCGGTGCGTACTTTTATTTTTTACTTACATTTGATATGTTTATGTTTATATATTTGATATGTTCGCTCATATCCGTTCGTTGTGTGCGTGTCGCGTGTCGTGTGCGGCCCAGGTGTGTGGCTCATCTGGTCGGGCACACGAAGCACGTGTATGATCTGAGCGTGTCGCCGAATGGCGAGCAGGTGGTCTCGGGCAGCGGCGACGAGACCATTCGCCGATGGAAGCTCCCCGCCGGCTTCGACGCCAAAGCGACCCTCGTAACGTTCCCGCGTCTCTCTTCTCTCTCTCTCTCTCTTCTCTCTCTCTCTCTTCTCTCTCTCTCCGTCGTTGTCGCACACATGAACTTACTCACCTCTTTCCACCGCACACGACACGACACAACGACCAACGACACGACACGACCGCGACGGTTTGGTTTGGACAGGCTGGCGAGCAGATCGTGTTGAAGCCGCAATCGACGTGGCAAAACCTGTTCGAGGTCGAGCACGAAGTCGACACAGCCCAGTTCGTGACGGACAATACCGTGGGTGCGTTACTCGCTCTCCTCCCCCTCCTCTTTCTTCTCCCTGTCCTGTGCTCACCACACGACACGACGACACGACGACACGACGACACGACGACACACGACACGACACACGACACGACAGTGTGCAAGAACGCGGGGAGTGGCAGCGTCCTGCTGCTCGACATTGAGGCCAATCCCCCACGGGTATGATGCTGTCGCCGTGTGTCGTTGCGTGCTGTGTACCGCGTGTCGTGTGCTCACAAGTGGAGCGCGTGCTATTTTTTTATATATTTTTTTTTTTGAAGGTACTGGCGCGGCTGGGGTGGACCCTGAAGGACGCCGATCCCGAGGACAACCTCGCCATCTTCATCAAGGGCAACGTCACCCGCCCTGCCGCTGGAGGTAAACGCACACGCCGCACCGCACGCACACCACCGCACACCACCGCACACGCATGACCGCACACACAGCTGATTTGTTGTTTCTTTATTGCTATTTGCAGAGGACCAGCTGCTGGTGTTGGGCACGGGCGATGGGCGGGTCAACGTGTACAACCTCACCTCCGCCCTGCGTAGCCAGGCCGCCGCCGGCGAGGTCGACGTCATGTCCACCGGCAAGCTCCACTCGCGCGAACTGGTACCAGTTCCCTGTGATCGTCGTGTCCGTGGTGTGTGCGATTGCCTTCGTGCGTGTGTTACGTGTGTGTCGTGCGTCGTGCGTCGTGCGCTGATCGTGTCGTCGTCGTCAAGGGATTGTACGCGGAGCGTAGCAAGGGCGTGGGCAAGGCGATCTACTGCGTGGCGCGGAGTAGCGACGGCCAGTACCTGGTGGCCAGCGGGTGCGACAACCTCGTCTACATCTGGCAACGACAACCATGACAAATCAAGTTTCAACTTTTTTTAAAGGAAAAAAGTCTTTTTATTTGTCATTTCTATTACATTATATATCGGGAGTATTTTTTGGCCAAGTCCGAGGGCCTGGGTCGTGGCAACGGTGATATGGGATTCTGTGGAAAAGGGCGTAATTTCCAGGCGATTTCTGTTGGAAATCTGGGGAGACAGGTTATCTTCTCCGGACCCGACATGTCTTCCTTCTTCTGAGAACCATGGCTCTCACATCCACACACTCGCCCACCTTCACTTCGGAACAGACCAGAGAAGACTTCCCCACCACCAAACTCATCCACACCGCACACGCACACAGCACCGCACTACGCGTAGAAAAAAGAGGAATTTAAAGAATGGCTACGTCAGTTGAAGGCAACAGCCACCACCCGACCGCGACGGGCGCACAGTACCCCGACCCGCCCGGCCTGGTGGTGCCGTCCGACACCATCAAGGAGCACTTCGACCAACTCGACGCCGACCACGACGGCGCCATCACCTGCGACGAATTCGTCCAGGCCTTCTCCCAACGTACGTCCCCCTGAGTGTCGTTTGTGTGAGTGTGCGGTCGTGTGTGTTGTGTTGTGTTGCGTGTCGTGTGTCGTGTGTCCTGTGCGGCTGATGGGAGATGATGGCCGTTTGGGGGGAGGGGCGCAACAGTGTTCCCGGGGACGACGGAGGAGCAGGCGCGGTTCTTCTTTCGGTCGATCGACCTCGACCGCAACGGCCACATCGACTTTGACGAGTTCACCCGCTTCGTCGACCGCCAGACCCACTGCGGACACGGTGAAGGCATCGGCCTCGGTACAACACACACGAAACACGCACACACGCACACACGCACACACGACACACGCGCACACACGCACACGCACACGCACACGGCGATGACCGGGTTGTGTGTTATGTGGCTCGAGCAGAGATGAAGGCCGACTCGGTGCGTGCGATCTTCAACGCCTTCGACGCCGACGGGAACGGGACGCTGGACAAGACGGAGGTGCTCAACGCGCTCCGGATGTGGGACCAGTCCGTCAAGATCACCCCCGAGTACACCACTCCTCCCACACACACGCGCCCATTCTTAACATTCCTTGCATGCATTCTCACATTCCTCAACGACCGCCGTCGCACAGGGACATCAACGTCATGTGGCCCTCGTTCGACACCAATAGGTGTGTGTGTGTGTGGTGTGTGGTGTCGTGTCGTGTCGTGTCGTTGGTCGTGTCGTGCGTCGTGCATTCTCACTGGTGCCTGCGCAGGGATGGTGTGATCGACTTTGAGGAATTCTCCAATCTGGTGCTGCGGCAGCTGCGGCAAGACCAGGCCAGCAGCATGCTCTACAGCGACTGAGTGGTGGTGGTCGTTGTTGCCAGCATTGGCCCGATTGGACGCTCCTGGCGGACTGTTCACACCAACACAGTTCTACCAGTGGCGTTCCTGCTCTTTTCTCGTAATAAATGGACAGAACACAATTTTTGTTTTGTTGCCTGGTCAAGCTTAACAAAATATTTTTTTAACACCCGACCAACATTAACCCACATAACCAGAAATGAGGGTATGCCCCAATAAGCAAGCAATAGTGTGCCAGGATGTTCAACGTTTTTATCAAACTTAAATGATTGATCAAATCATTATTTATTGTAGGTTCTGATATTGACAGACACGCATGGCCACCTGCACCTCATCAACAAACTCGCCCACAAGCACTCTGCCCAAGCCGGTACCCCCCTTACATTTTATTTGACATCTTCCATATATCTGGCTTTTATATATAAGCAATAAATACATAAATGTGAATAAATATCTAATATCTAAATTTTTTTTGCGCGCCCAGTGCTGCATTGCGGCGACTTTGGGTTCTATTCGGAGGCGCGGCTCGAGGAGCTGCCCGACCGGGAGCTGGCCCTCCGCATCCGCCATTCGGAGAAGCTCCGCCACCTCAAGAACAAGGCCTTCTCCATGTCCCGCCCGGAAAAGATAGGTTCGCCAACCACCGCACACACCATCGCACACGCCGCACACGCCACCGCACATGTCGCACACTCCACCGCATACGCCGGACACATCGCACACCACCGCACACGCCGCACGCCGCACGCCTCACACGCCGCACACGCCGCACACGCACTGATGGTACGTGCCAGAGGTGGTGAGGACGCACCACCTGGAGGGCGAGTTCGAGCTCTACCTGCAGGGCAAGGCCCACTTCGACGTCCCCGTCTACTGCGTGCCCGGCAACCACGAGGTGCTGCCGCCACGCGCCCGCGTGTTGCGTGTTGCGCGCGTGCGTGTGCGGTTGCGACGACTCAAACTATGCGCGTGTGTGTGGTGTGTGCGGTGGCGCGCGTGCGTGCGTGCGATGTGTGCGATGTGTGTGTGTGTGTGTGTGCGGTGGAGTAGGATGGGCTGTTGGTGAAGCAGCTGACCGAGGGCGCGATCAAGATCCCCAACCTGCACCTCCTCACCGAGACCTCCGACGTCGTCCTCGGCCAGGGCAAGGGACGCGTGCGCCTCGTCGGCATCGGAGGTCCGTGTGTCGTGTGTGTCGTGTCGTGTCGTGTGCGTGTGTGTCGTGTGTGTCGTGTGTGCGGTGCGTGTCGTGTCGTGTGGTGCTGATGTGCGTTGTGTGTCGCGCAGGCAACTTCATCCATTTTACTTCTTCGACCGGGAGGGCAGCGACGCGTTCTACCCGAGCATGCGCTTCACCCAATGGGTGCGCCTCCTGCAGCGCTTCGCCCCTCCGCCCCCCGCACTCGACGTACGCCCCCCACCACCACCACCACCACCACCACCACTGAAACCGCACGCACCGCACGCACCCCACTCACCGCACACGCCGCACACGCCGCACGCGCAGGAGCCCAAGGCCAAGGCTGCCGACGCGGTACCGCCGGCGAAGGGCAAGGGCAAGGGCAAGGGCAAGGCCGCCCAAGGGGCCGCCAAGCAAGCCGAGCCCGCCGCCGACTCGCCGCCTACGCCGGCCGAGGACCCCATCCCCACGTGGCTCCTCACCCACGTCTCCCCCGGGTGCCGCCTTCCCCCCCTTCCGCCCCCATCGGCCCTCGCCCTGATCTCGTCAATCTTTCGACTCACTCCCGTGCGTGTCGTGCGGCGTGTGCGGCGTGTGTGGTGCGGTGCGGTGAGCGTTGTAGGAAGCTGCCGTCGCTGGAGCTGCTGGGGCTGTACGTGAAGCCGCAGATGTGGTTCAGCGGGCACATGGGGCCGCACCTGCCCAACCACTACGCCCTCTTCACGTTCTGCGACGACTACGAGTTCGCCCACCGCACGCGCCCCGATGTCGGGTTCCTCCTCCAGCAGCACGCGCGGCTCGCACGCTTCTGGAATCTATGGTATGCGTGCCACGACCTGCTGTCGACGGCCGGCGACGGCGTTGGCGAAGATGATGACGTGGCAATGCCGGTAATGGCGTCGCTCGAGCGATACGAGGCCGAGCTGGCCGCCTTCCACCCGCCAAAACTGAACGAAGACGAAGGCGATGACGAAAGCGAAGAGAAAACGAAGGAAAAGAGCGAAAGCGAAGAGAACGAAAAGGAGGAGGAGAAGGAGAAAGAGAAGGAGGAGAAGAAGACGGTCAGGGAGATGGTGTTGGAGATTGTGCGGCAACAGCCGGTGCCGGGTCTACTGAAGAGCTACGTGCTGGCCGCCGCCGACGAGCGACAGATGGCCGACCGAGCCCGCGCCGTCTTCTTCATCGCGCCCCATATCTCCAGGTATACTCGCCCCCACCCGCCCCCACCTGCCCCCTCCGCCCGCTTACTCGTTCCTCGCCGGCGTTGCGTTGGTAGGGAGAAGCGGGGAAAGGTGTTTGTGCCGATGCAGGGCTACGAATCGCCCAACCCGCGCCAGATCCCCTCGCGCGACGAGATCCGCCTCATCGAGGCCGGCCTCCCCTACCTCCGCGTCCCCTTCCCCGTCCCCGACGACGCCATGGTACCGCCCCCCCCCTGCCCGCCACCATTAAAAAAAGATGTTTATGTGCGCTGACGGGTAACGCGCCGATCGAACAACAGCACGTGGACAACCGGGCCAAGCGTGTGCCGAGCGATTGGGTCAAGTCCACCATGTTCTTTAACCTGCCCGGTACGTGTGTGCGAGTGCGGTGTGTGCGGCGTGCGTGTGCGGGACTCTAGCCTACCGTCTGACACGCGCGTGGGCGACAGATGCGTACATCGGGGGCTACATGTACATCGACGTGGACGAGGCCACGGGCCGCATGGACACGGCCATGCTGGGCTCCTTCCCGCCCCGCTCCATCGTCGACGACGCCGACGACCCCTGGCTCGCCCACGACGCCGCCTCCTCTTCGTCGTCGTGAGCTATGCGTGTGTCGTGTGTCGTGCGCACATGTGCGGCGTGTGCGGTGTGTGCGGTCATAAAAGGAAATATATATTAAATTGATGAACACAGGGCTTCAGCCGTCGAGGCTCTGGCGTCGGCGCACGGAGGGGGGCGGCGTGTAGGCGGTGACGGACTTGCGGCTGCTCTCCTTGCCCTGCACCTCCCCGCGCTCGATCCTCCGCCCAATCTCCTGCGCACACGCGACACACGACACGCACACAAAGCACACGACACGGCACGACACGCACACGACACGACACGACACGACACGACACGACACGACACGCGCGGGTTGGTTTGTTGTCAGTGCAGAGGGAGGGGGAGGTGGTAATACGTGCCTGGCGGGTGGCGAAGCCGTCGGGTCCCACGCACTGGACGAGGAATGAGGCCGCAGCCGAGCCCACGCGCGCCGCCTCTACCACCTGACGAGTGGCCATGTGAGTGCCGTGTGTGCCGTGAGTGCCGTGTGTGCGGCGTGTGCGGCGGACCTCGAGGCCCCACTCGTCGTCGACTGTGTGGAGGGCGCCTTCGGAGGAGTGGAGCGGCGTCTTGCGGTGCTGCTGTTGGTGGTGCTGGCTGCGGCGCAGGTGGAGCAGCTCGCTGATGGTGCACGCCAGGTACGTGTCCCCGCATCCCGTCTCATCTCGCACTCGCTCTGGCACGCCGCACACGACACGACACGACACGACACGACACGACACAACACGACACGCATGAGTGAATGTAGGTGGCGGTGGCGGTGGCGGTACCGGGCTTGTAGGTGGGCACGAAGGTGACGCCCAGCGCCTTGGTCGCCAGGAACGAGCCGTTCTTGCCCAGCGTCACCGCCACTACATTCCATCACATTCCATCAAAATCAATATAGAAAAATAAAATCATATAATTATAATAACAAATAGCAGAAAATGCAAAGAATGTGGAGTGTGCCGATGGGGATGCGGAAGCGCTGGTGGAGGGCGACGGCGCATTCGGCGGGGCTGAGGTCGAGGCCCAGGATGGCCTGCGCCTCGCCGTACTCGGCCTTCAGGAACGTAAGGTACCGGCCCACCCGGTCCAGCTTGCCCACCATCTCCTCCGCCTCCCTACCATCGACGCACACAACACACACACACGCCGCACACGCCGCACACACATGTTAAGCACAACGCACACGCCGCACACGTTCATGATGAAGAGAAGGGTGGGCGGTGGGCGGTGGGTGGGTACCGGGTGCAGACGCGGTCGCCCTCGAAGGCGCGCAGGTACCCCTGGATGTCGATGGCGATGATCGGCCGGCAGCCCTTGTGCCGCAGGTCCTTCGCCACCGCCACCTGGCCAACCAACAATAACGAATTTTCTGAATTAGCTGAACTATATTAATATTACTATAGATTTATTATATATATTAAATGAGAATATATATAATATATTCTGGGGTGATGAGTATGAAGAGAGAAATGGCCGCGGGAAGAAAGTGGTTAATAAACGCACCACCAGCGTTTCGTCGAACTCACCGGCCACCGGCACGAAGAGGATCGCGTCGGGCCGACCCACGTGCTTCAGCACCTGAGGTACATAGGTCAACCCGTGAGGCACACGACACGCAACATGACACATGGCACGACACGCACGAGACATGTGTGCGGCGAGGGGTCAGGTACGAGGTCCTGGGGTACGGGGTAGCCCTTCTCCCGGAGCGAGAGCGTGCGATGGCCCGACTTGTCGTATTTGAGCAGATACGACGTGTCGGCGCCCTCCATCCACTCCACCTGCCGACCATCGATCCATCAGCTCACCCCGAACCGCACACGCACACACCACACACACCACACACACCGCACACACCACACACCACACGACGCACACACGGCACGCGCACGCACACACGGCACGCACACACACACCGCAGGGCGTACGCCAGAGAGGTCGACGGTGCCGGCGGTGCGGAGGGAGGTGAGGAAGGGGTCGGCGGCTGCGGCCTGGCCGACGCGGCACACAACACGCACGCGGCAGCCACGGCCCAGGGTGGCCACCGCCAGCGGCCCGTAGGTCACCGACCCGCCCAACTTGTGCGCCTCCCTGACTGCCCAATTATGTATTTATTTATTCATTTATTTATATTATTAACTGCCGTTTGAATGCTGATTTTTGTTTACGGTATCATCTATTTATTATTTATTTCGAAATTACAAACAAATAGAAATAAATACATAGGGAGGAGGGTACTGCTGTGGTCTTCAGGGTCGATGGTGTGAATGATGTCCTGCACAAAGTTGCCCACAAACAGGAGGTCAAAGCTGTCGTGGCCCTCTTTGTGGCTGTTGCTGCCTTCCATCTTCTTCAACTTGCTCTGTTTGTTCACAAAGACACAGCCAACAGTATTTGTGATGAAAATTCGATATTTCAATTACAAAAAATATTCGTTGGCGCCTTCTTGCATGCAACGGCACAAGATTCGATTGGACGTGGTGTTGGCTGGTGTCGTGCTGCTCCTTCTGTTCAGTCTCCTCCCCTTCTTCTTCCAACGTCAGATCATCGAAGAGCCCGACACAGAATTGCGGCACCACCATAAGCGCCCCATCATCGTAGATCGAGAAGAGGAAGAAATAGAAGAAATAGAAGAAATAGAAGAGAGGATGGCAAACATCATCGTGGAGAAGGCGTCCGAATTCGACGAGACTCTGAGGGAGTACTTCGTGAAGCATGCGGGCGACACCGTGCTTGTCTACCTCTACGGCAACGTGCAGCCCCATACAGGCAAGAGCGTACGCTCTCCATTGGCATCAGATTCTACTTGCTCATTGATACGCGTGCTAATGACTCGATTTCTCGCTTCTGCACATGTAGTGGTGCCCTGACTGTGCTGCCGGTACCAGCCAACCTCCATCTCCACATCTCAGTCATTTGAATTATTGGTTTATTTATTTATTTATTGTGTTTCATTTTATTCTACACTCAAACACAGCGGACGAGCCGATCCGTGCTGCGGCAGCCGAGGCCGGCATGACGCTCGTCGAGGTCCCCGTTGGCGAGCGCCAAGAGTTCGTTTCTCCTCTTCTCTTCTTCTCCTCTCTGTCTTCTTTCCGTGCCGTCGTGCAGGCGCGTGGGGAGCTGACATGTGTGTCGATTGTGATGGCACCAGGTACAAGGGTGTGCCCACCAACCCCTACCGTGTGCACCCCCAGATCAAGCTGGCCTCCGTTCCCACCATCATCAAGTGGACCAAGGTGCCGACCTTGGCCTTTTCTTTCTTGTTGTGCGCGCGCGCGTGTGTGCGTGTTGCGCTGATCGCTCGGATGGCTTCGCGTGTACGTACACATTAGGCTGGCCCTGGCGGTCGTCTGGTCGAGAGAGAATGTCGCTCGCAAGCCGACATCGCCGCTTTCCTCGCCAAGTGAGAGGCCCAGCCAGCCACCCACCAAGGCGCTTCTCACTCCATCATCGCGCGTGTCCTTTCTTTCGTTTATATTTATATTTTGTTTAAGTCTTGTTTCACAACTTCCTCTCACCTGCTTTGAAGAGAGCACATCCATTCACTCTGGGCCAGAGCACACCCAGCACGCACACCCCAGTACTATTTCTCTTCTTCTTCCTTTTTATTTTCTTTCTATTCGGTTGAACGGCCGAAATTTCATGCCCACTTCTGGCGAACTTGGTCGGCCAGCGAACTGGCTGCGCTTGGGCCCGGCCAACAGGTACCGACCTCCCGCGGCGCCCACCACCCGGTTGCTTGGCCCATTATCGTTGTTGTAGTACCCTCATCATCATTTTCCATTCCTCTAACAACACACGCAGCGACCGCACCTTCTTCATCTTTCTTCTTCCTCCTCATCATCACCGGCCTCGAAGTAGAACTGACAACATGCGGATGGCGTGTTCGGTAATGATGATGGTGGTTGTGATGGTGGTGTTTGTAGCGGTGCGGGTGCCCTCCGCTGCGTTGGGCGCCAACGTGACGATACTCTCGCCCTGCTCCGCGGATTCAAGAGTTGGCCCCGCAGCGGCGGCCGGCGAAGAGGTGGAGCTGTTCACGCTCGACGAGCTGGAGGCCATGGGCGTTCGGCTGTCGCTGTCGCCCGCGGGCCTCGTGCTGCTCGGCAACAGAAGCAGCAGCCTCTTCTCCACCAACAACGCGTTCGGCGCGGCCAACGTGCTCGGATCGGGCAACATCTTCGTCCAGACCCTCAACGACGACCGCTCCGTCGCACGCCAAGACAACATCATCGCCTGCTCCGTCCTCGGCTCCGGTACGCACACGACACGACACGACACACAACACAACACGACACGACACGACACGACACGCAACACACCACGACACGACACACGACACGACACACTCAAACAAGGTGGTATGTTAAAAATGTTTGGAACACAGGGTGTAGGCTGAGGAATGCAAACAATGTGACGGGGTCGCTGGTGGGTCCCGGCGCGGTGCTGGCCGGCGACGCCAACCTGATCGAGCGCGCCACGTTGGGCGCCGATACCGTGCTGGCCGGCCCCCAGAACCGCATCGTCGACGCGGCGCTGGGCCGCCACAACCTGCTCGCCGGCCGCGCCAACGCCGTCGTCGACGGCAGCGCGCTGGGCCACCTCAACCGCCTGGGCGACAGCAACCTCTTCTCCACCGGCGCCCGGCTGGGCCACAACAACTCCGTCATCTCCGGCAACGTCGTCTTTGGCGCCACGCTCGGCGATCGCAACGCGCTCGAGAGCTCGGCCAAGCTCCTGGTCGGCGCGCGGCTGGGCGACGACAACTTTGTCGATGACCTCAACACGCTGGGCGCCGGCGCGGTGGTGGGCTCCCGCAACCGGCTGGGCACGACCAACACGATCGGCGACGACGGCGGCGCACTGGTGGGCGACGACAACCGCCTGGGCGCGGGCGGGTTTTACCTCGACGGCGCGCGCGTGGGATCGGCCAACGTGGTGGGCGATGCGAACAACGTGACGGGCACTGGTGTCGGCGTCGACAACGTCGTGGGCCACTTCAACACGCTCCTAAGGTCGCTGGTGGGCGTCGACAACCGGCTGGGCGACCACAACACGCTCACCGAGGCCGTGGTGGGCCGCGACGTGGTGCTGGGCAGCCACAACGAACTGGAGCCGTCGGCGGTGCTGCAGAGCGGCGCGGTGGTGGGCTCCGGTTCGCGCATCGGGCGCGAGGCGGTGGTGGGCCCACACGCGCGGATCGGGTCGTGCGCGACCATCGGCCGGCGGGGTCGCCTCGGCGCCCGTGCGGTCGTGGCCGACTGCGCCACTGTAGCCGACGGTACACACACACGACACACACACACACACACGACACACACATGACACGCACACACACGACACACGACACACACACGACACACAACGAAACGTGTGAAGAACGTTGACGTGTTGGTTTGGAATGTGGCGCAGACGAAGTGGTGGCGGCAGATGCGACGGTGAATGCGAGCGGGGAGTGCAACTGCACGGCGGCGCTGGCCGGACTGCGGACGACGACCGCCCTCGGTGCCGTGAGCGGCTCGGGGTGGGACGAGGCCTTGGCCACCTTCACCCTGCCACCCCGTCTCTCGCCCTCGATCCCTGATTTTTTCGTAAAAATAAATACACCAATCTCGTAAAAAAAGTGATATAAAATACACCAATAACGTAGAACCTGTTGGAGGAACAATAGGTAGAACACAAGGTCGGCAAAGAACACAACTTTTTTCAAGTCGAGGCCACACTTTTTGATGTCGTCTTCTTCGTGGTCGCTTCTCGGCAGCCTCGACGCCGACTGCGCGCTCCACGTGCTCAGCTTCCTGCCGGCCGACGACCTGGTGCGGCAGCGCGCCGTCTGTCGCCAGTGGTCGGCCGTCGCCTCCTGCGACACCCTGTGGCGCCCCCACTTCCTGTCTTCGGTCCCACCCGTACGCCTCCCTTTATTACTTCTTCTTTATTCTTTATTCTTTATTCTTATGAGTTATTTATTATTGCACTTAAAAATATAATATACTGTAATAATTAAAAGCAATTTCTTAATTGAGTATAAAATCAAATCAAATGGAAACAGACGGGGACGACGACGACGACGAGGAAGTGGGGGACAGGCCGGTCTCGCGTCTCTTCCCGTACTACTCGGGGCTCTACGCCTACGCCACCCCCAAGCAGGACATGGAGCACCCGGGCGAGCTGGGCTTGTCCGACGACGACGACGACGACTCCACCGACTACCTGGCCGCCAGCGCCGCCCGACGCCTGAACCTGAGCCAGCTGCCCTTCCCATCGTTGGGCGACCATGACGATGATGAAGAAGAAGAAGATGGTGGTGATGATGGTGATGATGGTGATGTGTGGCGGTCGATTGCGGCGGCGAGCGAGGCGCTGGGCCGGGAGATTGTGCGCGTGCGGGAGCTGGCCAAGGAGGCGGATGCCGGCGGCGGCGGCGGAGGCGGCGGTTGGTTCTACCGCTACGCCGGCGCATGTCGTCGCATGCCGCGCCTGGTCGCGCCGGCCGCCCTCTCTTCACCATTCGTCGAAATCGTAGGCACACACGCAACACGCAACACGCAACACGACACGACACGACACGACAGGCAACACGACACTCACGGCGTCGTAACACGCAGGAGAGAGGAGTGAATCAGTACAAGACGGACCGGCTGGAGGTGAGCGTGATCGCGCTGCCGCACTACCCCGTCACCACCGTCCGCTATCGCCTGCACCGACTCGCCGTCATCCTGGCCCTTCTCAACGTGTACGACCTACCTAGCCGTGTCTCGCATTCGTGACGGACTCAAGGAACGATCGTGTGCGGCGTGTGCGATGTGTGCGGTGCGTGCGTGTGCCATAGAAACGAGTACGTGCCACAGCCAAGCCACACGGTGCGCATTGGATTCGTTGACCGGAATTGCACCATTTCGCTCGCCCGGTTCTGCCTCGCCTTTCTCCGAGGGTACCGCCACTCCACCACCCGCTCTTCTTCTCCTCCTCCTTCTTCCCAACGTTTTCACACCGTGTCGTTGGTCGTGTCGTTGGTCGTGTCGCTGGTCGTGTCGTGTCGTGTCGTGTCGTGTCGTGTCGTGTCGTGTCGTGTCGTGTCGTGTCGCTGGTCGTGTCGTGTCGTGTCGTGTCGTGTCGTGTCGTGTCGTGTCGTGTCGTGTCGTGTCGTGTCGTGTCGTGTCGTGTCGTGTCGTGTCGTGTCGTGTCGTGTCTTGTCTTGTCAGGAAGGAGAAGCAGCTGGTGGACGAGCTGGGGCTGGGTCCGAGGGACAAAGCCACGATGGACACGAGGACTGAGGCGTGGCGCAAGTATGGGTGGCGGGCCAGGGAGCCCACGCTGTGTCCCAACGTCGTGGGCCAGTTCACGCCCTTCGTGCACTTCCTCTCGGGTCCCTTCGGGCGAAAGGCGCCGTGCGTGTTCCCCTACGAGGACCACTGCGCCAACAACCCGCACACGTTCGGCTCCGAAGACGACGTCGTCGCCGCCTTCAGCTTCCGCACAGTACGGTCCACCACGACACACACACACACGACACACACGACACACACACACATGCAACACATGCACCACATGACACTGGGCGACGTGTACAGCCAGAGAAGGGGTGGGCGCCGGGCTTCCTGAATGCCAGCTTCACGTGGTTCACGCACGCTTCGATCACCACGCTCTACAACCACGGCCGGCGGCACATCCTCGTGCTCAAGGCCCGCGAAAAAGAGTTGGTGGGTTGATCAGCATTTTTGGCATTTTTTCCTTTTCCAGCTTGTTACACGTCAGCGCTTGTGATTTCTTTTTCGCTGACGTGTAACAAGCTGGAAAAAGGTAATGCGAATGAAATGTTGATTTCTTTATCTACAGTCGTAGCCTGCGTGGTGGGGCGTCATCCCCGTGTTGTAGAGAGGGGGGGTGGCCTCGCCAATTCGCAGGGTGACGTCATCGACGCTGGGCTGGGCAAGAGCTCTTTGGTCGGCCGGGCTGGTCGTCGTGCTGGAGGGCCTGGTCGGCTGCTTCGTCCCAAATCCTGGGCCTCTTGGCCGATGTTGTGGAGAGCACCACCTCTTCTTCTTCGGCAACTGGAGTGGCCCTCTTTCGCGAGGAGGGTGGTAGTCGTGGAGTTGGCTCTACTCGAACGTCGTCGATGCCATCGCCGTCTTCTCTTGAGAGCTCGATGAGCGAGTGTAGGGCCTGGGCGGTCACGAGCGTTGAAGGTGTGGAAGTAGTGGGTGTAGCCGCTACCACGACTTGATCTTGTGCCTTCCACCACTCGTGCTCCTCCTGCATCAGCTGAAGCAGGTCCAGGAACTCGTGCATCAAACTGTGAGGTGTTTCGTGTAAGTCCAACCGCCACTACTTCATTCAACAGTGAAGAAGGAGAAGAAGTAGACAATCATGAAGTAGTAGCGAGTAGTACCTTTGGTCGAGCTGACTGCTCGATGATGTGGGCATCCCAGAGGCGATGGGCTGAGCCGTGCTACCAGGGAGTTGAACCAGGGCCGACATGTGAGAGTGGAAGGAGAGGGCCTCGAGGCAGTGAAGGTGGTGTAGTGCTTGTGGTGGGAGATGAAGAGGACTACAGACAATCCAAGCGAGCGAAGTAGTGGTAGCGGCCCCGGCCGAAGCCTTCAGCATTTCGCGCAAGCCCAACGTCACGCAGGAGCATCAACGCCCCACGTGCCCTCAGCGATCGGGTCATGGTCACCTTCGCGTCTGGGGGTGATCGCCGCATACAAGGTACCGCCTCCTGGCTCGTGACCGGTCAGCCTGAGCGCGTGCGGTCCGCTTTCGCCTTTTCCTCACCTTAGCTGACCGCGTGCCCACGCCCAGATCTCAGCGGCCCAACGCTTCGCAGCTCCCGCGCCACGCGCCCGCGATCACTAAAACAGATAAATACGATAAATATGTGATTACGCTCATTTACGGCTTTCCCTTCTTGCCTACGCTCCTTTACGTAATTCACCACAGGGGTGGTGGGTGGTGTAAATGTAACAATAAATCAAAAGACACACAGAGAGAGATAATCACGATTGTAATTATTATAGTGCTACAACAACAACATGTTGGTCCTCCACCACAGAAAAACGAACCTATTCACACACCACCCGCGCTCTATGTACCAGCCCGTCGCCCTCTCACTCTCTCGTCGACACGGAAACCCACCCGAGCGCCGTGTGCGCACACGTGTGTCGACGGCGCCGGCGATGACGATGACGATGATCGGCTCGCGCGATTCTTCGTCAAGCGGGCACGTTCTTTTGGTTGTTTGGTGATCACCATCCGTCGTGTCCGGCATCGTCGTCGTCGTCGTAGTTGCAATATTCTGGGCGGCTCGGGCTAGGTGATCATCATCGGCGGCTTCGTCGTCGTCGTCATCATCAAGAGTTCTTGAGGAGGAGGTCGTTGTTCGCCCGCTTGGAGAGCGACTTCTTGCCGAGGGCCTTCTTGTTGACGTCCGCCTTCTGGAGATGTACAGTCGCCGGCGACGATGACGAAGACGACGATGACGATGATGTCGATGACGACGACAGCGAAGTCGACGTCGAGCTCGAGGTCGACGTGGCGTTGGTGACAGGCTCGCCCTTCTCCTTCTCCTTTCCCTTGCCGCCATCGCTCCCGCTTCGCCCGCCGCGCAGCTTGTCCTTGCCGCTGTCGCTCCGCTCCCTCTTGTCCCTCGCGCTCATGCGGCCGCCACCGCCGGCCGCCGCGCAGCCGCCGCCCTCGCTGTCGTAGCCTCCGCCGCTGCCGCCGTTCTCGTTGTTGAGCCCGGCCCGGGCGGCGTTGGCGGCGTTGACGTCGATCGTGTTCATCATCGCCGGCAGATCGCTCGTGGTGGCGCTCTTGCGCTTCGCCGCCTTGGTCCGGTTGGCCATCGACTTGAGCGACGCCAGGAACGATCCCTCGCCGCGCGTCTCCTTTTCCTTTTCCTTTTCCTTGTCCTTCTCTTTCTCTTTCTCTTTTTCCACCACCACCACCGCGCCGGCATCGACCATCGCCTCGCCCCACTGCTCCGTAGCCGTCGAACCGCCGCTGCCGCTGCCCTCCAGCCGCGACCGCTCCGTCATCGCCGCCTCTTCATCATTGCCGCCGCCGCCGATGCTGTCGTGGCCGTTGACGCCACCGGGCGCTGGCGGCGACGACGACGACGCGCCGGCGTCGTCAGTCAAAACTGGTGACCTGGTGTGGCCGTGCCTGGTGGTGGAGCTCCCGCCGCTCCCGCTTCGGCCACAGTCGTCTGCTAGTAGTACTACGTCCTTGCCCGAATCACTCACTTGCCGCAGCGTGCCGGCGTCAACCGATACGGTCCCCGAGCTCTGGGTCAGTTTCTTGCGGGCGGTGCTGCTGCTGTTGTCGCCGGCCGTGTTCGCCTTGTTGACTGGATCCTTGGTCTTGCCGCCCTGCTGCCGTCCGCCGCCGCCGCCGCCGCCGTTGCCACTCTCCCCGTCCTCGAATTCTGGTTGCCGCACTGGCGCACCTGGGCAGCGTAAATAAATAATAATTAACAAAAAATTGGAAAAAAAAATGAAGCGTGTTGCGTTGCGTTGCGTTGCGTCGACATACCCTTGTGTGGGTCATGACTGGATGACCGAACGTGCGAGGTCAGAGATGGCTGGTTGGACAGCTGTGAGGAACAACACCAGAGGCGCGTTAGCAACTACACAACTACTACTGCTAAATGGAAGTGAAACACTGCGTGCGTGCGTGCGTGCGTGCGTGCGTGCGTGCGTGCGTGCGTGCGTGCGTGCGTGCGTGCGTGCGTGCGTGCGGTAAGAGTACCGATTTGCCCAGTGGGGGCTTGGCCCAGCCTTCGCCCATCTTCGTCTCCTTGCCCTTGTCTCGCGCCGATTTCCTCGGACTGGACGTGTCCGGTCTTTAGAGAGAGAGAGAGAGAAACAGAAAGGAAGGCGAAGGTGAGAACACGGCCGATCCAGATGGTGCACGTAGTGAAATGTAGGCACGGTGTGGCGACTGCATGTCTTGAAGAAGGGCTGCGCGTTGGGTACGAACCTTGTGCGCGGTTGTCGTGGAGAGTGCTCGTTTATGGAGAGCTTATCTGGTGCAGACGACTTTCTGCTGAACGAATCCTTCTTCTGCTGTTGAAAAATGAACAATTACAGTTATGGGGGTTAAACAAATGAAAACTGTAGATTCCAATGTGGCTTGAAGGCCATGAAGCGGGGGAGGAGGAGGTGTGCCTTTTTGTCTTGCCGTGGCGTGGTGGATAGGCTGAAGTCGTTCTTGTTGCCTTTCCGTTTTGATTCCGCCTTCTTCTCTTCGAGCTTTACTGTCATTTCCTGTACGTCAGAGGAAACAAACATAGAAAAATTATTAATAAACCTTAATAAAGCAATATATAATTATATGTTTTCTACCAAATAAAGAAAGCAGGTGAGAGCATGTGAGCGAAAAAGATGAAGAGAGAGAGAGAGAGAGAGAGGGGGGGGGATGTAGGACATACCGTGTGCCACTTCTTGTATTCTCGAGCCAACTTCTCCGCCAGCTTGGCGGGTTGGATCTGTCGCGGCTCGTACCGAATCAGCTCTCGCGCTACACTCCGCGATGAAGAGTGCGCCGGATTGCCGCCCTCGCCCAGGAGATCCTGTTTGTTGTAAAAACAAACAATCGCAATTGCCCGCCGGCGGGACGTTAGGAGTTCGTTTGAGCGGCGGCGGGGGAGAGGGTTAGTTCGGCCATACCTCAAAATCTTCGTCTGAGGAATCATCGCAGTCTGCGAGAGGCTCGGTCGGCCTCCTCTTCTGGCTGTACCTACGCAGCCGCGTCGATAGAGCGTTGGCGAGGACCACAATGATGACAATGACGATGACGATGGAAGCGAAGAGAGAAAGAAGAAGCAGAAGAAGAAGAAGAAGAGGGTGGAGCGTGGCCGGTACCTGTCGATCCATCGGAAAGGCGAGGCATTGCGTTCGCGGCTGTATTCGTTCTCCTTTTGTCGAAACTTGTGGAGCAGGTCGAGATCGGGCTGCAGCGGACACGCCGGCATTGCGAAGGGACCTATTCGACTCCCCGGCATCACCGACCCGCCTGCTGGTGTTGCGTTGTTGGTCAGGTCAGCGGGCGAGCGGGGGAAGAAGAACAAGAAGAAGGCGAGCGCGTTGAGGGCAAGTGTCGCCGATGGCGCCAGAGAGAGAAAGGGGCTATCGAGAGCCGCGACGATGGTGGGCGGGCGTAAGAAGGAGGAAGAGGGGGGTATGAGTTGCCTGAGGAGAGGCTGGAGCCGGTGCTGGGCCTGGCCGACGCCACCCCGTTCTTGGGCAAGGGCGCTGGACTGCTCCCGACTGTGGTGGCCACCACAACGTAGAAGAGGAGGAGGAGGAGGAAGAAGAGGAAGAAGAACGTCACGCCTTGGTGAGAAAAGGAGCCATGTAGGGGAGAAAGAGGGAGCAGCTGAAGCACGAGGCCTCAAGACGTAGAGAACAACTACGAATGAGCTAATGCCTTGCAACAAGAATCGATCCGCGAGTAGAATCAAATTTGTACGTCACACGGAGATGAGAGTAGAAGGAGAGGACCCCGCTATGGCGGTTACACGTAGAAGAAGATGGGACAACATCATCCAAGCCCAACGCGGTAATGGGGGGTGTACCAGCCGATAGGGACAGTTGTAGAGACCGACGGTTTTTGGCCTTGGTAGGTGGCACGCCACGAAGGGAGCCACCAGCACCACTGCTGCTCGATCCGCCTTGTGATGATCCCTTGGTCGACGACGATGTCGATGAGGACGCTTCATTCCCGAGAGGTGAGGGAGCTCTAATGTTGACCGGACTGGGGGCACCAGTCGGGCGCCGGACCGATCGAGGTGTTGTATCGGTGGGTGTAGAGGAGGATGAAGACGATGTCGAAGTAGACATCGCCTCCTCTGCCCCACCTGATCCGCCTCCCCCAGCGGTTCCATTGCTCCACGAAATGCTGCTTCTGTTCGACTTCTTCTTGAGGGCGGCGGTGAGTTTGAGGATGGGTTGTTGCGGTTGGCGCTGGTCATTGTTTGCTGCTTCTGGCCGTTCCATCATGACCATTCCTTTTCGATTGATCATCCACTCTCTTCGCCCCTCGCTTATTCTTCTAATTCATCGGCCAATTGCTTCTGCTCTACTCTTTCTGTTGATGAATGAATTATCAAAAGGCCCCTCCTTCACAATTGGCCTTCCTCTCGATTCGAGTCGATGTTTAGCTGCCTTGGTTTCCAAGCATACGAGCGCAGGGTCCGCTCTCTTGCTCGCCTCCTCCCTCTTTCTCTTCCTCTACGCGCCTTCCTTCCAGCTACAATGGCGTCGCCCAAAGATGTTTTCACCGCCAACAACCGCAACTCGCTTTGAATTCGTTCGCCTGCGCCCTATTGGCTTGAGACCGAAATTTCGCACACCAACACGATTTCAAATTCCCACCAATATCCCAACACGGGTCCCGATCCCACGTGCCACACACGAGACACACGGCACACGACACGCACCGCACACGGGCATGACACACGCGCAAGTAGGTGGGAGAACATAAAGAACACTTGCGTGTCACGCCACACCGATGCACAAAAAAGATAACACCACAGCGCCGGCGGGTGACATGGGCATCATCGCTCACGGGCGTGGAACGTCGTCGTCCTCGTTGACGCTGAGGAGGCGGTTGGTCTTCGGGTTGACGTACAACGTTTGCGCTCGTCGGGCGCCCGGCTGGGCCATGCCGAGGCGAGACATGTACCCACCCCTGATCGATCGAAAGAATGAAGAACGAAGAAGACGAAGAATAAGAAAGGTGCGCGCTTGATGCGGTTGGTGTTGATGAGTGGCGTGTGCGCGTGTGTGTGCGGTGGTGTGAGCGCACGAACCTGATCTGGGTGACAGAACGGGGCATGTGCTCGGCCTTGACGACGACGGCGGTCGGGAAGGCCTCGGGTTGGCCGGACATGAAACCGCCTACCGGCACGTGCGTCACTTCGCGCTTCTAAACATCCACCACCAGTTGTCTCAGCACAATCCGCACCGCACGCACGCACCACACACGCACACGCACACACCGCACACGCCAGCAAACGGATGCATGGGCATGCGCGTACCTCGTCGCTGACGACGCCGTCGGCGGAGGTGGTGGGCGGCGCCTGCTCGCTGGTGGAGCGGTAGATGACGAGACCGATGAGGATGACCACGAGACCGGCGATATCGTAGGGCGACAGCGTGGTGGCCTCCTTGCCCATAATGAAGTCGAGCGTGAACGCGATGTTGGCCAGCGGCAGGACCACAGCCGACGCCTGGCAGCACACGACACGACACGACACGTCAAAATCGCACGCACGCACGCACGACGTTGGGGGGGGGGTCGATGGCCTAAGTGTAGCGTACCACGTAGAGAAGCGCAGCCGAGCCATACTTGAGCATGAGCAAGATGACGATGTTGTAGGCGATGTTGGCAATGATGTAACCTACACGCGCGCGACAATATAGGGTGAACATCTGTCGACTAAAGCTGTCTTGGTTGGAAGGTGGTGGCGGAGCCGAGTACCGAGCGTCATGGTCCAGGCCCACTCGCAGTCATCGACATTCTTTCCCGTGGTGATCGAATTGTGTCCCGTGAACAGACATCGGGCGCCGTCCTCTGTTGTGTTGTGTGTGTGTGTGTGTTCCACGCGGTGAGCACAGCATTAGGACGCAGGTATCACCTGGGACTACGCGACACGACACGACACATACGACGGACATACCGAGGTTATCGGGGATCTCGGAGAAGGTGAGGCCGCCGAAGCCGGGGATGGCCGTGATCGGCAGGAAGAGAAGACTGGAGGGCAAAAGAGAAGAGAAGAAAAGAAAGGGGGAGCAAAAAAAGCAAGTGAGAATAAATGGGGTGGTGTCGGGCGCCGCGGGGCTGGTGGAGAGTGGTACCCGACGAGGAACTGGAAGACACACACCCACGCGTTGACGTAGTAAATATCCAGATCTGCGCCCTTGAACGCAATTTCTTTGTACACGCCCTGTGTGCGTGTGTGCGTGTGTGTGTGCGTGTGTGTCAGTCTCGTGCTCGTTCACAGTGGGGGCTGAAAAGAAAACGAGTGTGGGCGGCGGCAAAGTGTACAGAAAAGGCGGTGGGGGTGGCGCTGAGGAAGAAGACGATGATGCCGAAGACGGTGTTGCCGGCGGCTCCGTTGGAACCGAGGAAGGCGTGGAGGAGGGCCACGACGATACCCGCAATGATCACGAACGCACCCAAGTAGTGGCCCCAGCGATACCTGCGCCGAGCAGACCGCACAAATAAAACAAATTTATGCAGTATAGAATTAGAAATAATTAATGATAGTGAATAATAAAAACAAATGGGTTTCTTTTTGGAAATAAAAGAAAGAAAGAAAGCAAGGGCGAGCATCAGAAATAGAGAGGAGGGAGCGTGTGTGTACCGCACGTTGAGCTTCTCCCTGAGGATTCGGGCGACGAGCGGATTCGACACGAGCCACGAGAAGAACATCGTGAACGGGATCACACCTTGAATCAGCAGCCTGCAAGAGAAGAAGAAGAAGAAGTAGAAGAAGAAGGAAGGAGAAAAGCGTCAGCGACAGCAACGCATAATGTATAACGTTGATTGATTGCGTGCGTGCGGTAGAGTCATCGCGGTGCGTACTGTTGCATGGCTCCCGAAGTTTGGTTGCCTGTACATGGTCGGGCGGCGATTGCCGATCAAGAGGTCAGCCCTGATGACTCGAAGGAGGAGGAGGAAGCGGGAGTGAGGGAGGAGATGGAGCACCTCCGAAAATCATCAGCACACCGGCAGTGGCATCGAGGGCGCCCATGACGAGGAACTGGTGTAGCGGAGCACAACAAGAGAAAACGAGTAGAGCGGGGTGGTGGTAATGTGTGAGTAGAGCGTTTGGCTGCAGTTGCATGCGAGAGAAAGAGCAAAGTAGCACCTTCCAGAGGGGGAACTGGCGCATCTCGGGGGTGATTCGGGAGGTGAAGAGCATCAAGGCCCACACGACCGGCCAGAAAATCGGGATGTACACCTGTGCACATCAACCATTGAGCTGCAAGGGTAAGCATTTATTTATTTATATTTGATCAGAACAATACTATCTTGTCTGCTCGTACGGCACGCGCAGTAGGAGAAGAGAAAAATCGAATTAAATGAAAGGCTACAAATGAATAAACAAAACATGTTGGATTTTAAGAATGTTGTAATTGATTGGTTCAATCGGGGAAGGGGCAGCACCGTGGTGGAGAGCTGAGAGATGAAGTAGGGGTAGTTGACCATGGGGATCAACATCTTCTTGAAGAAGACGCGATTGGCCGTGCCGACGAGGATGAGGGCCGCCGTCAAGAGAAGGAGGAACGAGTGCTTCGGATTGGCGTAGTACCGGACGTACCACATGAACTCGTGCTCGGGGGTGAAGCGTTTTCGCGTATCATCCCACGTACGCTGCAGGAAGGTGCGATCATCCTTAATCAGCAGATTGTCGAGCGACGTATCGCGATGGTGGTGGTGATGCGTCGAATCAGGGCTCGACGATAGAAGGGCCGCCTTCTCATCCTCCCCCGATTGATTAATCGACATGGTCCTCTGCCGGATCGAAATGTGGCGCACAACAAAATAGCCGCACCGAAAAATAATATAAAATTTTTTGTCGCCGACATGCTGCTTGGAATTATTGGTTGATAATTCCTGTGCGACGGTCACTTGTAACCAAAAGANATCTTTTTACAATCTTGAGCTGGAGTCTCTCAGTCATGTAGACCTTTGGTAGTATGCTTGAACTGATCTCACCAATCAAGCACTTTGCAGAGGATGTGGACATGGAGCATGTAAAATATGATCCAATGCTAACCGGTGTGTTCCAGGCCGAGATTTCGCCCAAGTCGCAGAACTTTTCCACAGAACCGTTTGACCAATGACAGTAGCAAGATCACGAAATTCCGGACATTACTGCGGAAGGGCGTCATGCCCGAGTTGGCCTGGAACTGGGCCGAAAGACGAAGAAAACCAAGGTCGGTCGTACGGAGAGCCACGCCCGGACCCACCCCAGGCACGGCATCTCCCCTGGCCTGGTCCCAAGTTTCCAGCCAACACCACGGGGGTCTCCTTCGCCTCTCCAGCTCCTCCCTTGTCTCAACTCCTCTCTGCGCCCCAACCAAACACAGAACGCGCAAAGCTCCACCCCTTTCCTCATTCTTCTTCTCACCTCGGCCCACACACCCTCAGCCACACATCAGCAGCAAGCCACCTTCATCTCTTCCTCCTCCTTCTTCTACGCACTTACACACACAGCACACAGCAAAGTCATGATGGAAAGTGCACTGATGATGGTCAGAGTGGCGTTTGAACTCGACATGGAGAAGCCAAAGTCTTTCCTCCTCAAATCTCTCTACTCGCCTCCCACTACCACAACGACGACGACTTCTTCTTCTTCTTCCACCTCTACGTGCTGCGGCAGCAAACGCTCGTCGTCTTCCGCAGTCTCCTCACCTGTCTCGTCGCCTATGACCCGCCGGCTGGCGATGGGCGGCAAGCCACTGGCCGCCGCGACGGCGCTCAACCCCTTCACCCAGCTGCCCCCCGAGCTCAGCTTCCACATCATCTCCTTCCTCTCCTACAAAGACGCCCTCCGCCTCGCACAGGTACCCCCATCCCTCATCACCGAACCCACCACCAAATTCCCCAAATTCCCAGCTCTCCACGATCATTTCTCGCAACAAAATCGAAGAATTCGAAATACGCACATAGCGTAGCGCCTGACGTCTGACCAACATCTTTGCCACATCAGACGAGCAAGGCGGGATATGAGTACGGGAACGATGACATGGTCTGGAAGAACCTCATCCAGACGGAGCTGGGCATCAGCTTCCTGGATGGCTGCGAGCTGGTCTTCGACGAGCACATGCAGAGACGCCAAGCCGGCCCCCAAGACCAGAACAGAAAGAAGAGCAAGGCCATCGCCAACAACAACGACGATGACGGCGACATGATGGATATCGACAACCCGCGGCCCGAGGGCAAGACGTGGAAGGAGCGCTTCCAGCACCTCCTCGCCATGCGCGGCGACCTCGCCCCCGTTCAATTCAGAGTACGTCTACATAGTTTTCACCATCTTCATCTTCTTCAGGTTCTTCAGCAGAGTCTGACCCCATCTCTGCTCTACTCTTTGCAGTCGATGAGGTCCATCCGACTTCCCGCCCTGGTCGACGCCTCTGAGCCTCAGAGGAGCCCGTGCGGCGGCGGCGACTGCGGCGGCATGTGCGGCGCCGCCCCGTCGACCCTCGGCTGCAAGCACTACAGGCGCGATTGCAAGCTACTCGCGGCCTGCTGCGGCCGCTTCTTCGTGTGCCGCCACTGTCACGATGAGCAGGTCCACGACCACCGCATCGACCGATACGCCACCCAGCTTGTGGTACGCCTTCTCCTCCACTACCACGACAGTCAGCCACTCGTCCTTTGAGCTCACGCTCTCTCTCTCTTTCTCGTCCAGCTGTGCATGGCATGCAACGCCATCCAACCGGCCGGCCAGCACTGCACGTCGCCACAGTGTCAGAACAGATCGTTGGGAAGGTACACAACACCCATCATTCTCTTCTCGATCTGCTGCGCAAGTGAAGTGAGCTCGCGACTTACCTTCGTGTTTGTTTGACAACAGTTACTTCTGCGGTGTGTGCAAGTTCTACGATAACGACCCGGACAAGGCCATCTTCCACTGCGAGTTCTGCCAGGTGTGCAAGCTCGGGCGGAAGAGCGAGTCGTTCCACTGCCACGCATGCGGGCGGTGTTCTCCAAGGCCGTAATGGCCACCCACCCGTGCCTCAACAAGCGCCAGCAGACCGTCAACGACGAGCGATGACCATCTACCTCACATCATCACCATCATCTCGTCAACATCACCGAACAAGAAGGGAGGGACTGAACATAGTGGAAGAGATAGCTCTGACAACAGAATCGAGAGAGGGCAAGAGGGAACAACAAAACCAACAAAGATACAGAAGTATCTCTTTTTTTATAAATAATACACCAAACAAATACAAGTGTAAATACAACTCAAATCGATCACAGGTCCGAAGAGTTGCACGGGGCGCAGTGGGTGGCGCCAGCGCCCGAGCAGAAATGGGGCGGGCACGGGGTGCATTTGGCCCTGCCGGCCGCCGACGAGGATCCCGGCGCGCACGCCGTGCAGTGCGTGTTGCCCGCACCCGCAGCCGCGAAGCCCGGACCACACGGGGTGCACCTCTATGGTGGGCAGGCACAACGTTGACATCAAATCAGGTGTCTGGGCAGACCTGGGGGTGGTGTGCAGTCCTCTCGTGGTGCGTACCACGGAGTCGGGTTGGGCGGAGGCGGTGCCGGGCGGGCAGGGCACGCAGTCGGCCGAGTGGATGTGGTGGAAGGTGCCGGGCGGACACACGGCCAGCTCGGCACGTGCCTGAAGAATGATTAAAGTAAAAAGAACGAATAAAGAACGGTGGGGGGGGGCAGTCGCACCAGCAGAGCAAGCGCCAGAAGCGCAAGACAAGGAAGTAGCACAAGATGTGAGAGGTGAGACATTACTTAGCAGAGCGTAGTGGAATGTAAATAAACGACAGCAATAAATGAAAGGAATAAAGTTAATAAATCAAAGAAAAGAGAAACCATTTCATTTTATATCATTTATTATTGTGGCCCCACACACTGTCTTTCAGCTTTAGAAGTCAAGGAGGGAGACCTCCTTCTTGAGGCCGTTGATGAAGGTCTTGCACTCGCGCAGCAGCTCCACGGCCTTCTCGTCCTTGACCTCGTACTTCTCGATCACCTCGAGCACCTTGGGCAGCAGCTCGTGCGCGTACTGGGACCCGATGAAGGCGTCCTCGTTGATGAGCTGCGCGCCCACCAAGAAGTCGGCCACCATCTTGAACGCGCCCAGGTTGAGCTCCGACGCCTGACCCTTCTGGGTGGAGAGCGACGAGATGTAGATGTTGCTGATGTTGTAGCTCAACTTGAACAGGTCGTTGGGTTCGGGGATGAGAAAGACCGGGCGGTCCTTGGACGCCACCAGCTGGCGCTGCATGCTGGTCAGCACATGCTCGTGGATGCGCTTCAGCAGGTCGTAGGCGGTGAGCTTTTGGCGCACACACGGGGCCGTGTTGACCACCGTGGTGACGTTGTTGATGTTGTTGATGATGTGTTGCCACCGCACCGCTTGGTCTCTTCCTCAGTCAGCATGTTTGATGTGTGGGTTGGGTGCGGGTGTTGGTGCGGTTGGTTGTGGAAGTGGTTAGCGGACCCTCTGTGCTCGGTGATGGTCGCTGGGTTGGTGCCGCTGACACAGGGGAGGCGAGATTCCAAAGGGAGAAACTGGTCGGGTTGTCGCCATACACCGACCAGACCAAAATGCGACATTGCTTGTAACTGGTGGTGCCGGTAACCAATACGATATGAGCTGAGACAAAACCGTACCTGCCCATTGGAGGCCAATTGACCAGCACCACCTGGGTTCGCGGATGCCTGCAGCAAGGGTAGAAAATGTTGACCACTCCTTTACCGGCATAGAAGAAGAAGAAGAGGTGGGATGTCCAGAGAGATGGACCGGTTCAGGGCCTTGCCCGAGGGTGAGTTGTCGGACAGTCAGAAGCTGCGGCGTGACGTGGAGCTGCTGAAGGACATCGACGGCGCCCACACCCAGACGGTCTTCATGTTGCAGGACCTCATCGAGTTCCAGCTCTGGGGCCTGCGCGACCTCCGCAAGGACGTCGTGCTGCAGACCCTCACCGTCGTCCAGTTCGCGCTGGTCGTGATGGACGCCGTGCTCTTCTCCGTGCTCACCATCGGCTCCGGGGTCAAGCAGTACTACCCGTTCCTCGTGGTCTACCCGCTACTCGCGCTGCTGGCCGGCCTGTGGCTGGTCGAGCTGTGCCTCGGGCCCTGCTGGCGCGCCGGCTGCTGCGCGCGGGCCATGGCCTGCCGCCCCGACGACCGCCGCAGCCTCTACGTGACCGAGGTGGTCGTGCTCCTCTTCTTCCTACTGCTGCTCCTCCTGCTGTCGCTCTTCAACCTGGGCTGGACCCTCTACCAGTTCGACGACGACGAAGACGAAGGCGGGGTGGCGTCGCACGACTATCGGCAGCTGCTGTGGGTCGACGTCGCGCTCTCCGCGGGCAGCCTCGTCGTCAGCCTCGCCGCGCTGTCGCGCTACGCGCGGCTGCTGGGGCCGTTCTGCTGCCAGGGCGACGGCCGGGCGGCGGCGGCTCGAGCAGCGGCAGCAGCACCAGCGCGGGCCGGAGCCGACGACGATGTCGAGATGCAGCCCGTGGTGGCCAGAGGGCCGGAGCCGCGCATTCCGAGAACTGCTGCCTATTGCGTGGTGGACCTCCAACACCGAGAAGAGGACGAAGAGGAGGAAGAGCAGCCTCTCAATGCCTACTGAGCTTTGTCCAATAATTAAAAAAGGAAATAAATAAATAAAATAAAATCAACAAAAAATGCAGAAAATAAAACCAAACTAAAACACAACCGAAAGCGAGCACGACCGCCATGTCTCTTCGGTTCTCGGGCAATCACGCACACCAGGAAAAGGGAGGGGAGGAAGAGGAGGACACGACGGCCTTGGTGCTGCCGTCCACCACCGACAAGTCGTCTTCTTCTTCGGCGGTGGCCGCCTCGTCGCGGTATGCGGGGGAGGGGGTCGCTGTGGCGTGCGATTGGTGCTTCACGCAGCTCTACTCGTCCTTCTCGCCCCCCGCCTACCCCACCTCATGGCACCGCTGCTGGCAATGTACCCCCCCCCAGGCACACTATTTTTTACATTTTATTTACTAATATGGCAAACAACTTTTTCACTTAAAATGGTTTTTGTTACTTTTTTTTAAATGGATGTTTATCTTGTAGTACAATATTAACATACTATATAATAAAAATGTCAGGCCCGGGCATGGTGTTGTGCCAGGACTGCAAGGAGGCGGGCGTGCACGACGACAGCGGCCACCCGACCTGGGTCGACACCTGTACGGCCTCCATCAGCGCCACGAAGACACGAAGCATTGCGCTCACGCTCGCTAATCCTTCCCTTTTAGCGCTGTGCATGGGCAAAGTGAAAGGACCCACGCTCGCCCAATCGCTCAAGTAAGTACCGCACACGGCACACACGGCACACACGGCACACACGGCACACACGGCACACACGGCACACACGGCACACACGGCACACACGGCACACGACATAGTGTCTGATTGTTGTGTGTCGTGGTGGTGATGACAAAAAGGAATGCGTTCCGCATGTTCGAGGGCAGGCCGTGTCTGGGTTGGCTTCCGCTCAAGGAGGGCCGGCTGGCCAACATCGTGTGGCTCACCTACGGCCAGCTCTACGCCAAGAGCCTCCAGTTCGGCTCCGGCCTGCGCTCCCTCGTAGACCAGGTACCCGTGGCCCCACCAATAGGAGGATACTATGTTGGACCTTTATGTTGATATACATATAGTGACACCAACATACTCACATAGATTCTGTGCTGTAAAATGTTGGGTGCGTAGCGCGACTTTGTCGGTATAAGTGCGAAGAACAGGTTGGAGTGGTATGTGACCGACTACGCCTGCTTCTTCCACAACATCGTCTCCGTGCCGATCCACACCAGCTTCGGTTCGTTACATTTTTTCATTCCATTAATATATAAAATGATAATGTTGTGATCATAACCTTGGCAATTTCTATTTATTCATTTATTTGAATATTCCTTTATATTTGTGTTACAGACGAGGTCGAGGTTGCGCATGTCATCAACAACTCCAGCCTTAAGGTGGTGATCACCTCGGCCGATCTGGCCGGCAAGTACGCCAAGGTCAGCCCGCAGTGCCCGACGCTGAAGCACATCGTGCTCATGGAACGGCCGGACGAGGCCTTGGTCGCGCTGGCCGCGCAGTACGGAGTCGCGCTCGTGTACTGGTACGACCTCTACGCCAAGGTACGGCACCTCCGCACCTCTTGCCATGCTCTCCCCACAACTTCACTCACCGCACACGCACACGCACAACCGCACACGCATAGGGACAAGAGTCGCCTGTTGAAGCGCACGGCGTGGAGGGCTCCCAGCAGCTCATCACCCTCTTCTACACCAGCGGGTCGACCGGCAAGCCCAAGGTGCGCCCTTTCTCAATTCTGCTTGTGCGTGTGTCGTGTGTCGTGTGTCGTGTGTCGTGCGTCGTGTGTCGTGTGTCGTGTGTGTTTGTGTGTGTTTGTGTGTGTGTGTGTGTGTGTGTGTGGTCCATTGCGTTCGATGCGGGGAAGCTAACAAAGGTGGCGATCGGCAGGGAGCGGTGATCACGGACCAGATATTGAATGACGACGTGACCACGGAGTACGGAATCCCGGACCCGTTCGTCACCATGTCCTTTGCTCCGCTGGCCCACTCGGAGCGCGTCTCCGTGCTCCTCTCCATCATGAAGGGCGGGCGCATCGCCATATTTTCGCATGTACGCTTCTTTTTCACCGCACGCACGCACGCACGACTCATTACTCATGACACTCAGGCCACACACACGACACACGCACAAGCTGACCTAATCACGCATTACATAGGAAACTGATCGTCTGTTTGAGGCGTTTGCCATCGTCAAGCCTTCCATCGTTTCGTCGGTTCCTCGGTAGGCCGCCACCTCTCCTCTTCCAGTTCCATTTCACTAATCACGTGTCGTGTGTCGCGTGTCGTGTGTCGTGTGTCGTGTGTCGCGTGTCGTGTGTCGTGTGTCGTGTGTCGTGTCGTGTCGTGTGTGGTGGGGCGGGTACCAGGTTGTTCAACAAGCTCTACAGCGAGTATCAGTCCGAGCTGGCACGAATCGAGCAGGCCGAAGGCAATTCGCTCACAAGGAAGGAGCAGGAGCGAGAGCTGCTCCTCCGTTTCAAGCAATCTTTTGGCGGCGCCACACAGATGGTACAGCCTCCAGTGTTGAGTGTCGTGTGTCGTGTGTGTCTCATTGCCGACTCACGGCCTCATCAGCTCATCAGCGGTGGAGCGCCCATCGCACCCACCGTGTTGGAATGGCTGAAGCGGTGCTTCGAGTGTCCGGTCTACGAGGGCTACGGCACCACCGAGGTGGGTCCCATCGCCACCAATGGCTGGATCCACCAGTCTGTTGGTTCGTATATCTATCTATCGATATAAATATTATAAATATAAATATAAATATAAATATAAATATATTCTTTAAATATCATTATTCAACTACGATGTGCGCAGATGTTAGATTGGAGGACGTGCCGGAGCTGGGCTACTTCACCACCGACTCGCCCTACGCGCGCGGCGAGATCTGGGTCCGAACCAATCTCACCGTTCCCGCGTACTTGCCTGCTCTGCCCCGAATCCCAGACCTTTCTTTGTTTCACCACACACACACAAACACGCACACGCACACGCACGACCGCACACACGCATACGCACACGCACGCGACGCTAGGTATTACCGAAACAAAGAAGAGACGGAGCGCGCGTTCAAGGACGGCTGGTTCTGCACGGGCGACATCGGCGAGCGCACGGCCCAGGGCTGCGTTCGCATCATCGACCGCCGGAAGCACATCTTCAAGCTGGCCCAGGGCGAGTTCGTCGCGCCCGAAAGGTGCTGCCACGTAACCACCCTTTTTTATTGTTTTCATTTTATTTTAAGGTGGCTGACGTGGCACATTCCACCAAGGCTCGAGAATGTGTTGATGGCCTCGCCGCTCGTGCAGCAGATCTTCGTGCACGGTGACAGCATGCGCTCGTTCCTGGTCGCGGTCGTGGTGCCCAACGAGAGCGCGCTGCGCGCGTGGGCCGCCGGGCAGCAGCTGCAGGACGAGCCCGATCAGCGATCGCTGGCCGAGCTGTGCCGGCTCGAATCGGTCCGGCGCGCCATTCTCTCCTCGCTGTCGCACATCATCTCCCAGTCCGGCCGCCCCGCTTGGGAAGCGCCCAAGGTAAGCCACCGCACACGCACACGCACACGCACACAATTACACGCGTGTCACCGCACACGCGCAATGACACACGCGCAATGACACACGCGCAACGACACACGCGCAGGGTATATTGTTGGACAACGAGGCGTTCACGGACGCCAACGGGCTGCTGACGCCGTCGGAGAAGCTCAACCGCCGCGGGCTGCTGGCCCACTACGGCGACCGCCTCGCGGCGCTCTACGAGTCGCTCGAGAAGAAGCTCGAGAACGTGCGCGGCGTGCTGGTGGCCGACGTCCTGCCGCGCGCGCTGGGCGACGTCGGCGGCCTGGACCACGAGGGCACCGGTGAGCCCCTCATCAACGACTCCCTCTCCGCCGTGCGGCTCATGCAAGTCCTCCGCGACAGGTGCGTGTCGTGTGTGTCGTGTGTGTGTCGTGTGTGTAGTGTGTGTGTCGTGTGTGTCGTGTGTGTCGTGTTGTGCTCAAATTACGGAAAACAGATTCCACGTGGAGGTGGGCGTGGAGGCCCTGTACAGCGGAAATGTGACGGTCGACCGGCTGACAGACCTCATCAACTTTTCGTCGTCCTCGTCCTCCTCTTCCGATCCGTCGGCTTCGTCGCCCGCCACCTCGCTGCCCTCCTTCTTCGTGTCTTCCGCGCCCATGACCGATTGGGAAGGTACCACTGTGGTGTGTGCGGTGTGCGGTGTGCGGTGTGCGTGTGTGTGTGTGTTGTGTGTTGTTGACGCTCTCCAACCCCCCCCCTCGTAGCTGAGGCTGCGCTGGCTAACGACTTGCGGCCCGTCCACGCGATCGAGAGCTCCCCCTCGGCAGAGGAACTGCCCGGCCACGTCCTGCTGACCGGTAATCGGCTGCCTGCTTGCGTCTAAATCTTATTCTATTCAAATCTGACCAACTGGCGCTCACTCTCCACTCTACACCGCGTGCGCGTGCGGGGTGCAGGCTGCACGGGCTTCCTGGGCGTCGTTCTCCTGAACGAGCTCCTGCACGCGCTGCCGACTGCGCGCATCCACTGCCTGATCCGCGCACGCGACGGCCGCGACG